AGGTGATGCTGGATGTGAGAAACACTTTGGAAATTTTCTCTAAGATGTGAGGTGTTTGAGAAGGCGTCTCCAGAACATTGCATTTATATTAAACACGGATGACACCTGGAAGAAAACCAAAGGTGATAATTTATTAGGCAGGAAAAAGGAAGTGAAGGAGGGAGGTAGTGAGGGGATAGAGAGAAAGGGTGTAGACTAGGAGATATGGGAAAGAGAGAGAGGGAAAGAGGGAAGTGGTAAGGAAACGGGAGTAAGATTAGGAGGAGGAAGACATGAGAAGATGAGGAAGGAATTAGAAGGGGAAGGAGCGAGGGAGGGAGTAAAAAAAGGAGTGGGAAGGAGGGGTAAATGGAAAGGTGGGGACTAAAGAAGGTAAGGGGAATGATGGAGGGAGGAATGGAAGACGATAAGAAGAAGATAAGGGAAGGGAGACAGATAAGAAAGGGGAGGGAAGGAGGTAGGGAGATAAACGAAGGGAGGGAAGGAAAGAGGAAGATAAGAAGTACTGGAGTAAAAGGGTTAAAGTATTTATTTTTAAGTTGAGTATTATTTTCTTCGGTAAAGTGGGACAAAAATGAAAATTCAGTTGATTTTATTTGTGCTATTTTAAATTTTTCCTGTGTAATATTTTGTAAATCTTAAATTAATATAATTTAATGACGGGATATCACTAGTTGTCTTATCGGTGTTTTCTTTTATAATTGAATAATATATTTTACTGCCATATAAATTCTCATAGTACATACATATGTTCTTTATTTCATTTAATAGTTACTTCATATGTTAGATTTAACTTGTGGTTTACTATTGCCAAATATTTAAGTGTCAATCAAATGGTCAATAAATCGTACATTTGTATACTAACTGTGACCTTCCCTCTTGTTACACTTCCACTGAGACAACAATAACATCGCCAACAACAAAACTGATCAAACACACTTCATTTTAACCTAATCTTTATATAATGTTATCAATCACTTCTGATAATAATGAGAGATTTGCAGCTGGAAAAACTGCAATAAAAAACTGATAAATAACAGATAAATTGTCTTGAAATTTTATCAAACTTATATGCCGAGAAATAGTTCCAAACACTGAGAAGAATCACAGTGAAAAGTGATCCTTCAGTGAAGTGGTCAGAAGGTATAGTCACGTCTGGTCATTAGTGGATCACAACTACCCTAGGACCGGTCACCTGGCTCACCTTATCAGTACGGCAGCTTCAACACTGATGTAATCTAACAAGGTAAATAAATCACCTTTAAGGAGAACCTCATACTTCCATAACAAGAGAGGTATCTCACGACGCTTGTGTGTGTGTGTGTGTGTGTGTGTGTGTGTGTTAAACTCTTCACCAATAGGAAGCCATATTTTAGTCTGAGCAACACGTCACGACTTACCTTTCCCATACTTCATTGAGGCAAATCCTTCATTCTCCTTCTGAAAATGAAATCAGGAAAAAAATCGTAAATGACAAGTTTTACAATTCCGTTCACAACTTCAGTAATTTAAAGGATATCTTCGGTTATTCTAGACATGAGGACATATCTTGATTTGTTTTATCCAACGAAGTAAAAATTAAGATACTTAAAACCATTATAAAGATAAAAAATATATAATAACAACAGCTCCACGACCCCCTGACGGAGACACGATGATCCTCCCCATACTGGCCAGATATTATGTAAATAACATTGATTATGTGTTAAAGGAATATCCTTCCTTCCTTAGGCTTTAGTAAGCCCCTTTATAATATTTATACTGTATATACTTGTCACACTTGGCAGATGCTTCTGGTGTTATTGTACATGGGTACCTAGTGACAGCACTAGGATCCCGGTTCCTCGATCAAGGAATAAACAATTGAAATTGAAATTGAAAATGAATAACAACAGCAGCTAATACCAAGATCCATATTATGGTTTTATACACTGGCCAGAGAATGCTTGGTGATGTAGGTGTCTCACAGCCAGCAGGTAGTATAAGTGATCAGGGTGGATCGGCCTCAACCAGCCGCCCCACGCCGAGTACGAGAAACTATTCCAGCAAAACAACCTTTACATACTTAGTTAAACACAAACACTGTCTCTCTGCCCCACAAGTATTCCAGATGTGTAAGACAGAGACCTTTAATATCCCCGTCTTGACTTTTCAGCCTTAAAATCAAGAACCATTTTATTCATTCACTTTTACCTTGTGTTAAATAAAAGCATTGTGGACAGAACAACAGAAGAGCCAGACATTGTGGACAAGACAACAAGAAGCAGTAAGAAGAGCTTGACGCTCTCCACATCAGACCTTCAGCGTGACTCACCTGCTGTTCCTCACTGTCCTCGGTGGCAGCAGCCAGAAGCAGGACGTACAGCAGCAGTAAAACCCTCGACCAGCACAGCATGTTGGTGGTGTGTGGCGCTGCAAGCTGTGATGGACTAGCTGGGGTCGTTAGGTTACCTTATCTTTGCCTTTATATCATATCTAACTTTGAAGTATTTCTGATAATAGGAACAAGAATGTCACAGAGTTGACACCAACATAACGCTAAATGCAGATTTATTTTTGTCCAGATGGAAACTTGCTTTAACTATTTAGTTCATTTCTACACCGATTTATAAAAGAAAAATCATACTCACCAGTTATCCAGCACTTAGGTCTTTATATTTACGTGTGAATAAGTCTAGCTTATCAGCTTTATCTGTGACATCATTGCCTGATGGTGCAGGGCTCGCCTTAAGCTGGACAAGCAATACTTGAGTACCTTAACAGTAAACATTGTCAAGATTCTGTATCCTAGAGCTACCTTCACCAACACATATTTTTATGCATACAATCTAACGGTTGTTGGTACGCAGTTGAGGCACCTCTTGTCTACCCAACTGTGAATGAGTAGGTATTCTTATAGAGGAAATAGAATGCAGTCGAGTGTAGGACCGGTCACGTTCTCTCCTTGCGTTCCCAAAAATGTTTAGTCTTCAGTTTGCGGACCTAAGGAATCCATTTTCGTTTTTCTCTTTTAGCGGCAGAATACACTATTGAGATACTAACGAGTTAGTTGTAATGAATAACATACTTATTTTTTTTCCAAAATCGTGAAAACAGAACATTAACAATATATATGTTCTGTATACTTTGTTTCTTGTTTTATCTCTCTTGATCTATCAACCTCGGCTACTAACACTGTGTTCAGGGGCCAATAAATACGACTCCCCCCTCAGCAGCTGATAGATACGCAGCGATAACACAATCTTTTACATTTTCAAGAACGACTAAGAAACCATACAAAAAATAGTTTGCTTCTAATGTTGATGCCCACATCAGGGCCTGGGGGTGGGGGGGGGGCGAAATAATAATAATAATAATAATAATAATAATAAAATAATAATAATAATAATAATAATAATAATAAAATAATAATAATAATAATAATAATAATAATAATAATAATAATAAAATAATAATAATAATAATAATAATAATAATAATAATAATAATAATATTATTATTATTATTATTATTATTATTATTATTATTATTATTATTATTATTATTATTATTAGAGAACCATAAAAATACAAAAATATAAAAAGATCAATAGTGAGAAACGATATATGTATGTTGTGTTGTCAATAGTAAGAGACACAATTGAGACCCTGCAATTGTGTGTAAATGAGGCAGAAAGTCAGATCAGCAACCTGGGACTTGGTCACAATTTTCGTGATGCCATATGACAGCAGGGTCTACCATTAGACAACACATTATGCTTCCAATATCTTCCCAGGCGGTAGTACCTCCCTGTTTGGTAGCTGCCTACTACCTGTTGTTTGCTTGTAATGTTGATTACTGTACGCCACTGTATGATTGTGGAACTCTTCACTATTATAACCAACAACAATACAGGTCTGTCCTTTCTTGAAGCATTAATAATAAATACTCCACAATACAGAACACAGACACACTCTCCAGCGAACGGTTGAAAATAAATGATATCCCAGTAATTGTTTGATAATTATATGTTATCAAATTAGTTGAGTGAGGCACATAGCATTATGGACTTATACTAGACTGTTTTGCCCCAGTTGTGGCATTTACGCCTTACTATTTTCGCGTATCCATTCATGTCAGTCATGTTAGTTCCCTCCCGAGTGGAAGAAACCCTTGTGGTCAAGATAAGTGGTGAGTAATTCTTAATTCAGCTCAACAAACACCTGCTTCAGCTTCGATAATCAGGTATCTCAATATTATTCTTTTTTAATTGCAAAAAAATTCTATCTATGTCGTTATTTCATTTGATAACTCACCGATCATCCAAGTTTATGGTAAATTGTGTCTACCGAAGACCATGTGTGGTTTCTCATGGCTCTCTAACATCTGCAGTTATAATGGAAAGAAAATATCAGAAGTGTTGTCATCATGCTCATTATAGAATCCTCTCTTGATAGGAAATAAATCTGCTTATCTTAATCAAGCTGAGAATGTTCGGAAATCTGAAGTGATTTGAACTTTTGGGAAAAACAATAAAGTTTAACTCAAATGAACAGTCGCCTTCACTTATACCTGGCTCAGTGACTGGCGTGATTTGTGAGATGTGGCAACTCTGTGTTTGTTTACATCATATTTAAACTCCCAGAATGGAACCTCGCCATATCTCACAAAACGCACAGCCACTATACCAAGTATAAGTGCAGGCGACTGTACATACACGAAACAAATTCAAATTTTTGAGCTCGGAAAAATACAACATGATATACAAGGTAGTTCAATAGTTCTTCCTCTCTCTGAACTACATCTACATAACTAATTGAACACTACTCATAATTGGGCATAACTAGACTCAATTTGTGATTAAAAGCTACAGTATACATTAGCAGCATTATAATTTCTAGGGGAGTTAGTCGTGGTTCGCTCATATCCCCTATCGAGACAGCGAGATAGATAGGCAGAAGAATACATTATCACTTACCATTGTGAGAGGTAAAATTCCCACCACGAAAAAAACAAACATCATTCATCAAAATAATAATACTGGTAACAAAAGATACAGACGTGATCTTATGTGGTAAGAATGTATTAAAGGAAGCCATCAATCTCTTACAGGAAATACTATAGTCTTTCTAGGTAAAGTTCTTTGATATAAATGTCAACTTCAGCTGATTTGATCTTTGTCACATTAAACACAAGTCTTGAGTTTAGTACTTTGGTACATAATATATTCTACAGTTATGAAAGGCTACAGTGTTATAAAATACAATGAAAATGTGAAATTATACGAACTCATGCAAGCTTGTAGGAATAACTGATTTAATGATGATAGTTAGGTCTACCCGACCATGAATTACACTTGTAGTGTAATAGAAATACCACCTACAGCCTCTCTACTTAACACAGAACAATTTTCAGGACAAAACATAGCAATTTTACAAAATATTGAGGAATACAAGTTTTATAAGCAATGTTTTCCTGCATAAATTTATTATAGAATGATACATGATAACATAACATAAAGCATAAAAAATTACTGTACACATTTTATATTTACAAGCCATTAAACTCAGCAGTAAAATGGACATTATATAAAAAAAATCACGTCTCTAATACAAAGATTTACTTCCCATAAATCTTCATTATTGATGAACTAGTGTGATAAGTGACCTCAACAAACCTTAACTGTTAAAGCATACTAATACATGATAACACCAGGTCCCGTTATCATCTACCGAAATAAAAAATTGCGATAACATTAGATCCTATTTCGTGACGATGCGACAAACAGAACAACTCTCCTCCTGACAGTTTATGTGGCAACAACAATAAATTACCTTCACTTAATTTTCCGTGATATAACCCACTCTAGAGGAGAGCATATTATAGTCCGTTAACTCTCCGGTTCTGTTCCCCCGATATGATAAGTTTAATCGAAACAGAATACAATGTCAAGGTATTACAAATATTTACTTCATTTTACTCAGTTATATATAAATGATAATACTTAGAGATGGAGTTTAATTCACCCATCAATCATCCTAATTCTGGATTATGTCATAAGATTATAAATTAAGCAGCACTAATCTGCCTGTCTCCGCTGTGAGCCCCAACCAGGAATGATGAAGAGTTAATGGTAATTACTTTAAGCTTATTTTGTTGCTGTTCATACCGTCAGTAAGGGATGCAATCAGCCCTCTCTGTTACCTCCCTCTCCCAGACTTTGGTGCGCCACTGTCTGTGTTGGTATGTTAGGATTAAATTACTGATAATGTACCAGTAAGAAAGTGTTAGGATTTACTTGTGGTAGAGAAGGAATGTGCAGTGTTAAGCGAATAACGTCTGCTGGGCGACACACAGTGGGGATCAGATGACCTGTGCTAGAAACTACTCTTATACTGTCCATCTACCCCCTCTTTACCACCTCCTTCTTTTATGAAAATTACCTCCATGATGCTCGATTAAGAGTAATTTATGGGTTTAGGTGAGTTTAAGTTGTTTGCTCTGTGTTCTCACCTGCTCTCCCGTCATTCAATTTTTATCTCAAATTTGGCTTAAAAAAAATATACTCAATATGACCTTTTCCAGTTGTATAATGACTAACGGGAAATAATGTGACTAACGAACTAACAGAGACGCTCCCTACATTCATCAATCACCCTGGAATCTATTTTAATTAATAAGTTACAAACATCACCAAAATAAACAGCGGAAACAAGGTGCACTAAAACTGTTGTTGACCCACCCACCCCACCTTCCTCCCTGACCTTGATCAATCTCTCTAGTCAGTGGTCATGTTGGTGTTAATCTGTCACTGTTTCTTGCCTGATAATGGTTACCTTATGAGACTAAGCCTAGACTAGAATCCCAAATTAACTAACTACCTCTCATACCTTGAAAATAGAAATGTATGTACACATAATACAACATATTAAATTCTGCTATCAGTGAAGTATCAATACCAGTAAGATGACCTCGTTACCGAGACGTCTTATCTGTGGGTACTAAGACAATGTCCCAAACTACTATTAACATTTGACACTAAGTTACATCACCGTGAAGAATAAAAAACAGCTAAACGATCATCAAAAGTCGAAATGGACCCTCAGTGTTTCTACTAATTATCGTTTTGTTTTGTTTGGTTTTTATAGTACACAAACGACTCATATAAGTGTGAATATATAAAGCTAATACATTATCAGTACGTATACAATGTGAATCTATCCACGTCGATTTTCTTCTCAAGCACTGTCACCATCAAAGAAATTATCTGCTTCAGGCCTCTTCTTGCTGTACGCTCCAAAAGAGTATCTACACGGAGGGTGTTCGATGTATTACAAAATGAACACTACGACTCTTGCTGTCTCGGTAAGGTTATCAAAATCCTTAGTTTATTGTGTCATAATGTCTCACACAAAATTATTAAGATACTTTTTTTGGTGTGAGTTTACATAGATAGTAACTTTTCGCACCATTTTCATACACTTTACTTAAATACTGTACAATACACGTATCGATCCCTTTATTGTCTATTGTACACAAGAGGTTAAAGTTGCAGGTTAATGTTTTGTTTTTTTCATCCCTGCCATCTATTTCTTCAACATATATCGCTGTTCCTTGTAGCTTCGATTTTGGCGCTGATACCTGTTGTAAGAATATGAGATTATTTATCACACCTGATCATAGTGACTTACCAGATTTATTAATGTTGGCACCTCCTTGACCAACAAGATCATTACGTGAGGGAACATGGGACTAGAGAATAGAAGAAACCTTGAAAGAACTTGAACAATTAGATCTTTAAAATATATCATTATATCACTGACATATAATTAAATATACAGTTATTAACCTACTCTTGATATTTATCATATTCTTTGTAAATTATATCGTTCGTGTTCCAATGTATTTTTTTTTTTATTTACCAAGTACGGTTTTAATGGTTGGTTATGAGACGCGTGGTTGATGTAGAGGATTACCCTTCACCCAATATAGTAAAGGGCACCTGTACAACCACACCAATAAGGGATGAATGAACATTTTTTTTTCGACCTGACTCGCCTGTAGACTAAACGAACCTATTTAATTTTGAGAACTGTGATGGCTGAAGAAGGTACACAGGACAATATCTACATGACTATGATACTGAGAATTACTGACATTCGAGCTAGACTTACCTCGTACACCTTAGAGGAGAAAGATTAAAATACACGTTTACTTGAGTGATAAGAGTTGGGTACAAGTTAATATATCTAGTTAACAATAGTCACTAGAAGTTTGAAGGTCGATACAAGACTCACAAAGTTGCTTTCCTAATGACTCTATAAGATCACCGACTCGACTAGGGGTTCGTTCAACCTATAAAAAGTGTCAAATAAAACTAATATTCCTCTAACAATGACTACACTGGAGAGCTGACAATAATCTCACAGTTAGCAGTTCACATTTTAGTAAACAACCAAGAAAAGGTTGTAATCATGTTTTATATAAATCTCCTTATAAAACCCTTTCTGACTTTGAGACAATCGTTCAAAAATAAACAGTTTCTCATATACAAAGATTCAGTACTTACATATCAAGCACAGCATCCTTGTCGCTTGGATCTAACTCAAGGTTAATTCCAGGGGACGACGGACTTTTTCTCGGTATCTTTTTAAAAACAAATATACCACCGGCCACAAGCACCACCAGGATCAACACACCACCTACAGAAGCTCCCGCGATCATTCCGACGTGAGAGGGCGGCGTCGGCACTGTGTTAATTATTATCTCTGCTGGAGCCCCAAGACCCGCTCCGTTGTAAGCCTATAGGTGGGTGAGAGTCAGTTACAGTGGTGACCAGGAATACATAGATAAAAGCATCAAGAGAGACTGTGGGTGGATGATCAGCACCTTAGAGAATCATTGGGAAGGATCAGCACCTATAAGAATCACTGAGTATGAAAGGAGTCTCAACAATACCGACTGTACTATAAAAGTAAGTCACAATTCTGGTTTGGGAAAAAGTCACACACATCAAAGAATAACAATGTTGGCTGGGGAAAGAAAGTGACAGGGAAAAAAGTCACATTCATTTAAATACCACCAAGAAGTAAAACAACACACCAAAAACATGTTTTTTCCTACATTGTTGTATTCACCTGTGGCAGAGGTGCTAATTTTCTTGAGTGATAAACACAACTTATGTGAAACCTTTCTACTTAGCTTTAACCACTTTAGTTGTATTTACTATAGTATAATAAGTAGACATGTATAGAGATTTGTTATAAGTATTGTTGAATTTTGATATACATTATGGCTTCTCGGTTATACATAAAGCTACAGTAGATATAGATACACTCATTCGTTTTTAAGTCCTACTAATACTGACTGTTTATGAGTATAGGCACATGTCTTCTTACCCTTATAGAAACGTTATATTCAGTGGAGGGTTGCAGGTTGTTAAACGTGTACTGGGTGGAAGATCCACTTAAGTTAGCCTCATATATCACTTCATTGTCGAGTGTCAGGTTTAGATGCCAGCCTTTTAGCTCTCCGTTTAGGCTCTCAGGTAATGACCAATTAACGGAGGCCGTGTGCTGGGTCTTGCTCAACACCTTCAAGTCTTTAGGTGCACTGGCCTCTGTTGATGTTGGTGGGAAGAAAGACGGTGAGGTAATGATTGTCAAATTGATTTTTTTAATTATCTTCACTATAATTATCGGTGTAAATAATAATTATACAATATATTTTTTTTAACTTTTTTTTTCGTGCAATTATGTTATTCATTTGTAAATAAGGGAGAGTTTAAGCAGCAGGAACAGACACTAACCCTCCTCCTGTGTAGTGATTGAACAGCAAGTAGACTCGTCTTCCTTGTCCACGACGTTCAAGCATGAGAAAACCTTAGTGTATGGTTCCAGGTCATGTAACACGTGACTCGTCTCACTCCCAGCAATAGTTATATTCTGGGAACCTGTGTCAATCAACAAACTCTTAATATTTTCTTCTACACTCAACAATATTACACTAAAACGGTTTCCGGTCAAGGAGATGACATCCTTGTGGGGTTTTTCCTCTCACCTAAATCACACACAGTAAAATTCAGTGTATTTTTTTTGTGTTCAATTAATATTCAAGATTTATTTCATGATTAGCGTTTATACTAATTTCGTCACTTCCCAAACTTTATCATGGTACGGTACTTAGGGATGATGGCCTTCTCTCATATACCTAAAGTATTCTCACTGCGAACACAAATATCAACTACTATTACTTAAACTAAAGGTTTGTTGTTAACATTACTAATGATACTATTAATACATATGAAGAAAAAAGTATATTGGGTTTTAGTAATAATATTGTGATATTATTGATAAAGCTTCACTATTATGGCAGGTATAAAGAGATGACTTACTAGTGTGTTGTGACCAAATAACAGTTGTGTTCCAGTACAAGTTGTAGCGAGACACGAGGCACTCAGAGGTTGCCAGACTCCAGCTGAGCTCCACTTGTCTGGTCTCCTCATTGCAGCAATTCAGACCGGATTCTGAAACTATATTAAGAGGCTTCATTAATCTTGTCCTGCATTATAGAAATATTAACTATCTCTGGTATACATCTAAACAACAGAATATTTCTACCAAAGACTCACAATGAAGACTTTAATAGGTATTTCTACAGTTACCAACAATCACTTACTGTAATTTGTGATCACTGCAGTCCTCAGTTTAGATTCACTGCTCCACTCAGCCCCAGTGTGTGCTTGGACAGTGACGGTGTAGTTCTCACATACCTGCACACCCTTGATCACATCTTCACAGATGGGTGCACCCACTGGATCTTGACCAGTACTGCCATTTGTATTATGCCAATTGACTCTGTATTCATCAAGCTTCCCATTCTCTTTTACTGGCTTAATCCAACTGACGGTGAGAGAGTTTCGGTGAACCTGCAGGTCCTGGAGGACAGGCGCGTCTGGAACTGATCGCCATAGTTATTACATCTGACTTAAAATACAATTGATAGAAACAGAAATTTTACTGAACCATTATTTTTCAGGAGACACCACAGAAACTTTGACAACTGCCAGAGTGTTATGGAGAAGAACAAACGTTACATATATTATATCATGCTGAAAAAAAAAAAAATTTTATCGTAGTTAAACAAGTAGATGAGTGTGGTGAATGTTGTATGTGACGTGATGTTTTGTGAAACGACATAGTAAGAGATGAATATGTTAGGATTTGGTTGTTGAAGGAAGAACACTACAAAATAATAGTATTTTAGCGAGGCTGTTAAAGAGGGAGAACAACTGGACACAACCACCACATACAGTAAGCCATACTGTTACTCCTCAACAAGTTAACCCTACCAATTGTAAACCTGTATGACAGTTTTTCTGAAGAAGTTAATAATAATAATAATATTATTATTATTATTATTATTATTATTATACCTTTACATAATGGTGAGAGCATAAAGTAGACCGTTTTATCAAGTTATATCAGGAAAAAGGAAAAGAGTAATCAATAAAGCCTTTACACAGTTACATACATACTAAGTGTAGTCCGTCCCGCCCCCTATGGATACAGTTACAGAAGTAGTCAGTAACTTTTACTATTCTAGATATATGATATGTTGACTGTAGTGTAGATGAGACCTACCAGACTCTGGGCTCACTTCTGAACAACACGTGCTCTCATTGGTGTGGCCCCACACGCTGACACACATGGTGTAATATGTATACGGTACTGAATCTCTCGGTTGGAAAGACCTTTCAGTCTTATTTAACCATGGTAAGAGTTCACTGTCCGACACTGTAACAGAATATTGTGGTAAATAATGTCCATAATGCCAAGTAGTCTCTTATGTTTAACAGATATAAAACTCTACGTCTTTTGTTTTAAACATTTAGAGCAAGATTAATGTGGTAACGTCCATCAATATACAACACTGCACTAAGGAAACGGAAAACAAAATAAAAAGTTGCGTTTTAACTTACGTGTCTGGTTACTCCATAATACTGTACCGTTCCAGTTGATACTGTAGTTGGAGACAGGACAGTAAGGGCGAGAGGACTCCCAGAACATTTCCACGTTATCATTGGCCTCATCGACACTACAAGTTACATTCGACGGTGGATCTATGGCGGAATAGAAGTTTCATGACCAAAATTACAATGAACGGTTTTCATTATTGATCTTTATTAGCAATTACTTATTAGGTCATTATAATGCAGTAAGATACTCACAGTTACCGTAGATTATAGTACTCAGAGCATCACTCATCGGCCCATGTCCTGGCTCAGTTGAAGCTCTGACAGTGAAGCTGTACGTCTTACATGGCTCTAACCCCTCAACCATCATCATCAACACTGTTCCTTTCACAGTTTGATTACTTTTTGTGTTTCCCTTGATGGTAAAAATATCATAGTTCAATATTACTCCGTTGATCTTCTCAGGTGGTGACCAGGTGATGGAAGCTGAACCCTCATAAGGTGTTATGACATCGATGATCGGTTTCCCCGGCTCTGGCGTGGGTACATGTATTAGTGTTTAGTGACCGAGATCATTAACAATAACACTTTTCCATTTCATGAATTAAATTACAAAAATACTTTAAAATGTGATATAAATATGGTAGTAAATTTCCATATTATTATTACCCTGACTGATATCAAGGGGATGGATGATATTTTCGGTTCCTGTCCGTCTGTTTGTCTGTCTGTCTGTTTGTGTGTCTGTCTGTTTGTCTGTCAGTTTGTTTATGTGTATCCTGAAAATTACTCGAGAATGAGTAAACTGTCATGGTAAACTGTCACCTAAAAATAGCACATCGGATATTTTCCAGGTTTAACGAAAATGATGACACGAGAGGCAGTTTTCAGCGATGACTACATCAGTTTACAGTAACAATGTCATTAACTCAACATTCACCCTGCCATGGCAACGGCTCCTGGGCAGCGTTTGCAGCGACTATGATAATGTTTCTAGTTATCGAGTTATTTCTTTTTTTCACACCTGCCTAAAACATAAAATTTGTACTTGAATTTACAAATATTATCATCACGTCATTCTTTATATTATGCCATAATGAGGGTTAACACACACACACACACACACACACATATCTCATCCTTTGACACACTTTATATCCTTTCATTCGCCTTGTTCCCTGTCACACACACACACACACACACACACACACACACACACACACACACACACACACACACACACACACACACACACACACACACACACACACACACACACACACACACACACACACACACACACACACACACACACACACACACACACACACACACACACACACACACACACACACACACACACACACACACACACACACACACACACACACACACACGCAACTGCTGTACTTGAGGTGTTGTGGATTGACTAGCACATGTATATACCTAGGGAGGATGTAAATGGTTGCGAAGTATAAATGTGTTCAAGGCATTAAACATTTACCAACCGTAAAGACAAACTACGTACTCTCCTGAAGCGTAACATTCCAGCATGTTGTGGGAAGACCAAACCCAGCCTTAGTGGCGGCTGCAACATCAACTGTCACGTTGGCGTATGGCGGAATGTCTGGTAATTTGGCGGTAAGTTCTGTTGTAAAGACTTCTCCTGAACCATTTGCCTCCTTCCACAAGGTGTTCCACGACCAGCTGACGCTGTAGTTCATAATGAAACACGTAAAGTGTGGCTTATCCCAGGAAATAACCATCGCGTTAGAGGTAATGTTGTCAAACAGGCAGCTCAGTGGTGAAGGCGGCACTGTGGAGAAACAATGAATTCAGAGTTACTTACATGACAATGTATCTTACTTTATCCCTACCGACAATGCAGGAAATTACTATAGACCCCTGAATACCGACAGGTGCTAAAGAAAGCGGCCTATGAGACAACAGAGCCCCTTCCTCACACTCTTCCAATCGTTTACTTCACGCTAACACGTCTTTTAAGCTGTTGTGTCACAAGCGGCAGGATCGTAGCCACTGCAGCCTGCATTATGTCCAGTGACCGAAGTAAATATCACTGAAGGCTGCATTCTGTCATATTGCTGGTCTTGTCTAAAAGATGCCGGTCTAACTTAGCTGATACAAGTCCCTGACAAGTAAAAAAAAAATGCAGTGTAACCGGTTTCAGTCACAGCCTTCACTACACGAGACGAGAACTATACGTATTACTCAAGTCGTGAACCTGAGCACAGAAAGCTGCGTTATCACATGACAAGTGATATTTAAGGTACAGCAGTAACGATCTTTGACTGTCATCTGGCGAAGAAATATAAACAACGAAATTTGAAATATTATAATTTTAGCGCCAGTGACCTTGACTTTTGACTATGAACTGTAAAAGCAAATGGGTCTTACTTTCGTAGCACCAATGTACTGTATGTACTTGTTCTTAGAAACTTTAATCACGGATCTGGAACTAAATCATAGGTTTACTGTAGTAAAGAGAGGAGGTACAGATATAAAGCAATTACTAAAAATAAATTGTATTATTTTTGCAATTTACCATGTCTCCATCACGCAAATGATCTTTACTTAAAGAACTTCTAACACATCTCAGAACAACAAAATCTAAAGTGGAGGACCCTATATCACAAGCGAAATTAAGACAATGATAAAAGAAAACCACAAACTCCAAAAGAAATTTGCAAAAAGACCCATAACTTTCGGTGATGCTTACCGAAGTATCAGAAATAGAATAACTCAAGCAGTTAAAGATGTCAGACGTAGCTATTATACAAATAAGCTCTAATCAGCATCAGGCGACAGTAGGAAAACCTGGAATGTCATAAATTCTATTCAGAACAGGAACACTCAGCCTTCGGCCCCTCACTCAGCTTTTATGATAAATGATTCAGTTGTAACAGAACCCTCCCTCATTGCCAACCACTTCAATTAATATTTTCTTAAGGTTGGCAAAAATTTTGCAGAGAGCATCCCTGATCACCATGAGGAATTTAGAGTCTACCTGCAAAACAGACAGCAAAATGAGCTGTTCTTATCACCCTGTCACAACAGATGAATTACTGTCCATCATAAAAATGTCCAAAGATGCAGCAGCAGGCGAAGACAATATACCAATGAGCATCATTAAGAAAGTAGCCCACTTATTACTACCTGTTCTCCTACACATTTGTAACTCCTCCTTCACTAGTGGTGTCTTTCCGGATAAAATGAAAATTGCTAAATTTCACCCAGCATATAAAAAATCTGGGGACAAAGGTCTCTTCAAGAATTACCGCCCCATATCAGCCCTCCCAGCCTTGAGTAAGATACTTGAAAAGCTAGCATCTTTACAGACTCCCAGTTTGGATTTAGAGCTAGAAGGTCGACTGAGAGCGCTCTGCTATCGTTTACTAATGACATCTTAAATTCCTTTGATGACAGTCAGTTCAGAGTCTGTATATTCTTGGACCTCTCTAAACCCTTCGATACTGTCGACCATACCATCCTCCTTTCAAAGCTTGAACATTACGGCGTTAGGGGCCTATCCCACAATTGGTTTACCTCATATCTGTACAACAGGATACAGTATGTCTGCTACAATAATCACCAATCTGACTCCTCGCCAATCTTGTAAGGCGTCCCCCAAGGTTCCATTCTCGGTACAGTACTGTTTTTGTTGTACATAAACGACATAGTCCACGCCAGCACACTCATAAAATACAACTTATTTGCAGACGATAGTAAACTCCATGCCAGCAACTCAGACCTCCATTCCTTGATGAGAACTATGAACACTGAATTAACTAAAGTCAGGACCTGGGTAATACGTAATAAATTGACCTTAAACCTTGAGAAAACCAACTACACGATCTTTCACAGAAGGAAAAACTTACCCCAGACTTGGACCCCTTGTGCCTTGGTAATACAGTCCTCAAACGCGAACGAAATACTAAATTCCTCGGAGTTATTGTTGACGAGAAACTTAACTGGAGAAACCACATACAAACCATTCACAGTAAAGTCAATAAACAGTGCGGTATCATGTATCACACTCGATAGTCACTCTCACAGCAATGAAAAAAATCTATTATGAACTTGTTTACCAACACCTGATTCACTGTCACACACTATGGGGGGCCTCTGGCTCTTCAAAAACGCAATCCCTGGTTACTGCACAAGAGAGAGTTGTACGGACAATGACCTACTTGAAAAAAACAGATCACACAAAAGAAAAATTTGCTAAATTGAAAATGTCAAAATTCAAAGATATTAACGCCTACTGCTGGGCCCTCTTTGTTTGCAAATCTATCAATCACTTAATTGACAATAATTATTTCCAGTTCCGGAATAATCAGAGATACATCTTAAGGCACCCAGAGCTACTAAGACCACCCCCCACGCGCTCCTCTCAGTCCCAGACCTCCACAAAATATCACGGTGTGAAGGTGTGGAACAACTTACCCCAACCCATCCGAGAGCAAAGACTATGCTTCCTTCCTTTAAATCATCTCTAAAAAAAATATCTATTGTCTAAGTATTAATATTTCTTGTAATACCTACTATATTTACAGTCCCTGCTTTTATTGTACCATCAAAACTGCTTTCTCGGAAATTATCATGTAAATAGATAAGAAATTACCATTGCAATAAACTTATTTGCCAACTAGACATAATCCTGACAGCTTTGTCCTCTTGTTCAACCTTAATACTGCTCAACCCATGTTGTGCTGCTCCCCCATTACACTTATGTTTTTCAATTCCACTGTAGTTTATGTATTTGCTTCCAATATAAAAAAAAAAAAATAATAAAAAAAAATATTTAAATAAAATAAATAACTGTTGAAGTGATAGCCGTGGTAACATTATGAGATGTTCTTATTACCACCATGCTATTGTACTATTCCAGATGTTTTTATTATTATTATCCACTCTTTATCTGTGTTTTTCTGGTTAAATAAGCTGTTTCAATTCAATTCAATTCAATTCTCACCTCAACAAGGTTTAGGTTGACTGAAACAGAAAAACGTAAAAGATATCTCGACACATTTTCATTATAGTGATCCCGCTTATCGTTTAGCCACCAAGAGTAGATGACCACAACACCCGAGGACTTACATGAATCCAATGTTTTGCCCATCACAGGGGGAGCCATATGCTCGTCATTCCCGTACTCAGACGCTACTGAAACCGACAATCTTGTACACGGTTCCAGTCCTTCCAAGATGTAAGAGGTGTTGTATACTGATACTGCCGGCTCAGTATCAACAGCGATATTGTAACAGTCGGGATCTTCAGATGGCGGGTCCCATGATACTCTTAGGGCGCTCTCTGACACTGCTGTCACCGTCACATCCTGGGGGGCACCTCCTGAGAGAAACAATTGTTGTAAATGATTATGTTGAGCGTGAGAGACAATGAGAAAAACTATAATTTTGTGTTTCATCAAATTTGTATTAAAATGCAAGATTTTTCATCGTCACTATATCGAAGATAAATATGACGACAAAACATTAGCGAGAAGGAATAGGTAGGCGAGAGAGAGAGAGAGAGAGAGAGAGAGAGAGAAATGTCCCGCGCGTATCACTAATCAACGTCAACAACAATGGCATCAAACTATGGTAAAAGTAATTTATTACAACTAACTAAGCTTGATAGTCGTCTCTAGCTCGTATATATGGTGATTGTAACTATAGCGTCTCCAAACGGCCAACCTATATGACCTATAGCAAACCTATCCACCAGTCACGTCCGTCGTTACACAACCAATACCCATTCATTCATAAATAGTCATACTACTACTGAGACGCTGCCGTTTGGCGACACAGGTTACTGATGGGAACATTTCTGCGTGATAATATCATCACAAATATTTTTTATCCCCTTCTCCTCTGCACAATGTCTCGGAAAGAAAATTATCTTATTTAATTGTAGGGCCTCGACCAAAGCAACACAGGTCGGTCCCCCCAACAAAGGGTAAGCCAAATGATTCCTCGTATTCTAATTCTAATTGAGAAGATAGAGTCCTGAGCCGGTTGGTTAATTTCCAGTTAACCAGGTTGGTTCACATATATTATATTGGGCTTTAGTAACGAAACCCAATTGAAGTTTCTTGTTTTATTAGAAAAGTATTATGTTTATAATTCCTGAGTGTAGATCAACCATAAGTTCCACTATTTATGAGTGTGATGAGAAAGGGACGGCGTTTATGTATATAAACGTGAATCAACGTCCGTTCAATATTAGTTGGTGTGAGTGACTTTGAGTAGTTACCCATCGAGGGAGAACAAAATTGGGACTTCGTCCCCCCTCTAGGGAAGACGGAGACATCCACTGCGGCTCTCAAATAACGTCTTCCTCTAGTCAAGGATATCAAACTACTACCCGCTTTAGGTGGCCACGAACCGGCTACTTATGCCTTTACTCAGCATAGTATGACGTAGCTTCCCGTGGGCACACCTTATCACGTGCGTTGAACATGTCACCTCATAGCCAGTGGAAAGTTACAGGGATGAATCTGAATATAAATCAGATGTAAATAACCCATTTATATAATACTGTCTGTTGATGAGACGGGGGCCATTACGTTCCATCTTATTAATATCTTTATGACAGTGTCACTAACGCACACACAGACAACTCTCAAACATTTACCGACATAACCACACCAGTACATCTTCACGGTGTGTGTGTGTAGTAAGCCATTTATGTCCAATGTATATTTTCGGTCTTCGAGCTGCAGAGCTTTTTAAATAAACCGTTTATTATAATTATTATTATTATTATTATTATTATTATTATTATTATTATTATTATTATTATTATTATTACACGCACGCGCGCGTGCGCGCACTTTAGGTGTTGTGGATTGAATAGCATAAGTATAAACCTAAGGAAGGTGCAGATGGTTGCGATGTAGCAATGTATTCAGGGGCATTAATTACAGTGAAGACAAACTACGTACTCTCCTGAAGCGTAACATTCCAGCATGTTGTGGGAAGACCAAACCCAGCCTTAGTGGCGGCTGCAACATCAGCTGTCACGTTGGCGTATGGCAGAAGGTCTGTTAAGTTGGCGGTAAGTTCTGTTGTAAAGACTTCTCCTGAACCATTTGCCTCCTTCCACAAGGTGTTCCACGACCAGCTGACGCTGTAGTTCATAATGGAACACTTAAAGTGTGGCTTATCCCAGGAAATAACCATCGCGTTAGAGGTAATGTTGTCAAACAGGCAGCTCAGTGGTGAAGGCGGCACTGTGGAGAAACAATGAATTCAGAGTTACTTACATGACAATGTATCTTACTTTATCCCTACCGACAATGCAGGAAATTACTATAGACCCCTGAATACCGACAGGTGCTAAAGAAAGCGGCCTATGAGACAACAGAGCCCCTTCCTCACACTCTTCCCGTCGTTTACTTCACGCTAACACGTCTTTTAAGCTGTTGTGTCACAAGCGGCAGGATCGTAGCCACTGCAGCCTGCATTATGTCCAGTGACCTAAGTAAATATCACTGAAGGGTGCATTCTGTCATATTGCTGGTCTTGTCTAAAAGATGCCGGTCTAACTTAGCTGATACAAGTCCCTGACATGTAAAAAAAAATGCAGTGTAACCGGTTTCAGTCACAGCCTTCACTACACGAGACGAGAACTACACGTATTACTCAAGTCGTGAACCTGAGCACAAAAAGCTGCGTTATCACATGACAAGTGATATTTAAGGTACAGCAGTAACGTTCTTTGACTGTCATCTGGCGAAGAAATATAAACAACGAAATTTGAAATATTAAAATTTTAGCGCCAGTGACCTTGACTTTTGACTGCGAACTTTAAAAACAAATGGGTCTTACTTTCTTAGCACCAATGTACTGTACGTACTTGTGAAATATCACGAGCATCGGTGCTTGTTAACTTTAGTCACGGTTTTGGAACACAACTATAGATTTAGCAAAGGGAGAACGTACAGACATGAGGCAATTATTAAAAATAAATTATCTTATTTTTGCAATTTACCGTGTCTCCATCACGCAAAACGCGTGAAATTTTCATTATTCAGGCCACTTCAGAAATGCGTTATAGTATCATCCTTGTTCACTTGTCATCCTAATAAATGATCTTGACTTAAAGAACTTCTAACACGCTTCGGAACAACTGAATCTAAAGTGGAGGACGTCTCACCTCAACAAGGTTTAGGTTGACTGACACAGAAAAACTTAAAGATATCTCGACACATTTTAATTATAGTGATCCCGCTTAACGTTTAGCCACCAAGACTTGATGACCACAACACCTGAGGACTTACCTATATCCAATGTTTTGCCCAACACAGGCTCAGCCAAATACTCATCATGCCCGTACTCAGATGCTACTGAAACCTCATATTCTGTACACGATTCCAGTCCTTCCAAGATGTAAGAGGTGTTGTATACTGGTACTCCCGGCTCAGTATCAACAGCGATACTGTAATAGTCGGGATCTTCAGATGGCGGCTCCCATGATACTCTTAGGGCGCTCTCTGACACTGCTGTCACCGTCACATCCTGGGGGGCACCTCCTGAGAGAAACAATTGTTGTAAAATATTAAGTTGAGCGTGAGAGACAATGAGAAAAATAATTGTCTTTCATCAAATTTTTAGTAAAAATGGAAGTTTTGCATCGTTTGAGAGACCGAAGAAACGTTACAGAGAAGGAGAGAGAGAGAGAGAGAGAGAGAGAGAGAGAAATGTCCCGCGCGTATCACTAATCAACGTCAACAACAATGGCATCAAACAATGGTAAAAGTAATTTATTACAACTAACTAAGCTTGATAGTCGTCTCTAGCTCGTATATATGGTGATTGTAACTATAGCGTCTCCAAACGGCCAACCTATATGACCTATAGCAAACCTATCCACCAGTCACGTCCGTCGTTACACAACCAACACCCATTCATTCATAAATAGTCATACTACTACTGATACGCTGCCGTTTGGCGACACAGGTTACTGATGGGAACATTTCTGCGTGATAATATCATCACAAATATTTTTTCTCCCCGTCTCCTCTGCACAATGTCTCGGAAAGAAAATTATCTTATTTAATTGTAGAAATGAACAGAGAAATTGGACAATTGAGAAGATAGCGTCCATCTTATTAATATCTTTATGACAGTGTCACTAACTCACACATAGACAACTTTCAACCATTTACCGACAAAACAGCACCAGTACATCTTCACGGTGTGTGTGTGTGTGTGTGTGTGTGTGTGTGTGTGTTAGGATATTTGGCGGATTTTGTGTATGGCCGCATTGGTGTTATGTTCTGTTCATCACTGTTCAAAGTTTATGGGGCACTATACACTCAGACATCCACTTTATATCTATCAACATTTCTCTACACATTCTCATTTCTCACGGTGTGTCTTCCTGGTCTTGTTTGTGGATATAATTCTACAAGACTCAACGAAAGACAGATTCACCTTTGATTATGTGGCAGTCCTCAGATAACACTTATCATATACACACGTCACCTGCAGACAATTAGCTCATCTGATCAGTATCATATGTTACAGTAGACTTAAGACGGCAGTCATGCATACTAAGATCACTAAAGAAGTTATATATTTACTTCGACTTTCTTTTGCAAGTGTAAATAAGTTATTTTCATAAGTAAGTGATGAGATACCTGTATTTTTAGTCAATTTTAGAAACAAATGTTCTCACTCACACAGGTATGCATGCGAGATAATTACTATTCGTACTATCATCACCTTCCCTACAGTCTACATGAATATTTCTTGTCGTTTTTCGGAGCTGACAGTCAAGCTACATCAAACGGTATGATTATAGTCCCTTTGTATAATCATTTATATAATCGTTCAACTATCAGCCATCGGTGAGTGGAGGGACAACCATACACGGTGCTGGGAGACATGCCTGAAGTATGAGAGCCAATGTTGTGTTTACAGTCGGGGTTAACTCCAGCATTATCTGAGAGTGAAGGGGTGTCGCCACTGATAAGATACATATACGGTACTGTAAACTCCAGGATGCAATACATTATAAAGTTAAAGTTTATTATTGTAAACCACACACGAGGAAATCTAATGAAAAGGCCAAGTTAACACAGGCTGAATTAAAAGATCACGAGAACCACTAGAGTTAAAAGACAAAGTATTGTTTTTTTTGTCTCTACTTTTTATACGAACCAATCCATTATTTCTCAAATTTTAGTGAAAATTTAAGTACATTTGGATCTTGAAGGAGGGAAAAATTTTGTGTTTATTTACCTACGATCTCGCACAGGCAAACTCGGACGCATCACAGTCGGTAATACTTACACCATCAACAGAAAGGTGAAAAAATATCATAAAAGTTTCATAGTTACTGAGTGACGCTGAGAGCAATCAAGCCACTTATGGTAGTTTAGCTTACATACGTCTTCTCGTCAACCTAAGGCCAACTTTTGCGTGGTCACTGAGACATCGGGACACATTTGATAATTATTTTAAAGGTATATAAATTGACAACCTTGTTACTTTTACCATCTCTGTTAGCTGATGAGGTACGCCAGTGAATGAAAGGGAAGGAAAGTTGTGGAAGAGAATGAGAAACAAGTGTCTTTCTGGGACATGATTCCAGCAAGTGTCCACATGAGAAACAAAAGCAATGTCTGCTGTTAATAATTAATTCAATAACTCATAAGAGAACGAGGAACAAGTTAAGTCAGGTGTTATCTTAGATGTATTAGAGAAACACACTGAACTGGTTGAACCTGTTGAAGATACATAGACCAAAAGAATGAGACACACACACACACACAAACACACACACACACACACACACACACACACACACACACACACACACACACACACACACACACACACACACACACACACTTCATGTAGCATTACCAGGTGATGGAAACACACATGCAATATGCTGGAGGCAGAGAAGTATGACTAAAATATTAGACATCAGAACACTGCTTAAGGACACAAGATTATAAGAACAGACAACATATAAGGTGAGATAGTAGAGACAAATGAAGTGTCTGTCTATATCCTGCAAGACTGAACAAGAGCCAACACCTGAGCAGCGAAAACAACAAAGATTACCACAGTGACAAAAGTTCAACTCACTGTCATCATCATCATTCAGGTGTTCAGGCTCATCATGTTCTTTCTGAAAAAAATAAATAAACATGTTTTATCATCATGGTTATTAACTATGGAGTTCTATATGACAACAAATTAATATATAATTATACTTATATCAAAAACCGTCATTCACCTGACTACCGACACAAACTTTCCTGGGTTTAATCTACTAGCTGTTATTGTTGTTACTTTTCCTTTCATTTAACCTTTTACATTCCTTGTCTTATTTTGTTTCATCTTCCCTATATTCCTCTGTTTGCATTCTCTAAGTTTATCTGTATTCTTTTCGTAGATATTTATTTGTTCAATCTACTATAATATATATATATATATATATATATATATATATATATATATATATATATATATATATATATATATATATATATATATATATAACACAGACGTACAGTTTCTCTAATCAAATGTATGTATAACACTTTACGTATCAGACTAAAAAATATCAATGGTCTGGTTGCTGGAGGATGGTCACAATGTGGTCACTGATCTCGTATATTTATCCCATAAGAACTCTTGCCTTAAACTTTCCTAATACGTTTTATCAAAACTAATTTTAGAACAAGGAATTATCTCGCTTACAAGATACCATGAGAAGTCAACATCACAAGTGAACAGCTGCCCGATATGTGCCCAACAGGTATCCAACAGATGTCCAACAAGTATTTAAATAATGTATCAAGGTTGGCTGCAATCTTCGATGATTATTTAATATGGAAATATAAACTTCACCGTTAATGTTATCCAACTGTACAGTACACCCTTAAACAAGCTGTCTCACACATACACACACCTCCCTCAGCCTTCATAGGGTAAGGACTTGTGTAGTCGGCGCTGCCCGCTAATGCGGCCGTGGTCTCTTGACCATGGAGACAGCTGCCAGCCCGGTCTGTCGGGCTCTCCCCTCCCCCATCTCCTCCTGCCCATCTGGATTTATCAACCGTCTTCACACCAACAGTACAGTGCAAAGATTGACGATCAACCCACAAGTGATATACAAAAGTGGCAATTTTTACTCGAAGGAAAAGCACAAAAACACAGCAATACTGAGTGTGGCTTGACCTGACCTCACGACTTCACCTGACCTATCCTGAAGGATGGAGCACATCTGCATTGCCCCAAGCTACTGTCCTGGCCACGTGGCCACACAACTGCCCAACCGCATCCAGCCCATAAGAGCACGAACTGATTGCTACAAGAACAGACCAGTCCCAACCATTGAAAAAATTATCACCACCTAATTATTATATATCTTATTTGTATCACTTATATTACGTGTACATCATTTGTAAATCAAGAGACCCAATCCCCAATTATGTAATTGTATATTTTCAGCCTTCCGGCTGCCATGCTCTTTCAATAAACCGTTAATTATTATTATTATTACACGCACGCATGCACGCACGCTACGCGCGCACACACACACACACACACACACACACACACACACACACACAGGAGCCAGACATTTTTTAACAAGACAACAAGAAGCAGTAAGAAGAACTTGACGCTCTCCACATCAGACCTTCAGCGTGACTCACCTGCTGTTCCTCACTGTCCTCGGTGGCAGCAGCCAGAAGCAGGACGCACAGCAGCAGTAAAACCCTTGACCAGCACAGCATGTTGGCGGTGTGCGTCGCTGCAAGCCGTGATGGACTAGCTAGGGTGGTGACGTACTGATGAACAATCTTATCAACGACACTATATCATATCTGATGTCGAAGTGTTTACGATAAACTGATCATTTTGCATAAAAATGCCAAAGAGTGGCTCCTTCCCACAGGTTAATGACTAGAAGCGTAGGTAATAGTGATTTAATTAACCAATTCCTCTGCCCAGTGATTTACACATATAAAAATATAACAATTACATCCATCGCCTGAGTCATACAAGTCACCCCTCATACGCTGGTTTTATTAGATGATAATTATTCCTAAATATATACCAATAACTTCTATGCATTTCTCTCTTCCTGGAAACTTTTCACTGACCATAGACGATCATGTAGATCAACATAATACATATAAATGAATAGCCTCATAAAAAAAGGTTACCTAACCTAACTTGATGAGATGGTTCTTAAGGGAAGTAATTAAGCCTATATGATTTTATAACTGTATCTGTGTACACTAATGCTTGTTTATATCTACATGCAGAGGTGTGTGACCCCTGGCGGCTACGGAGAGAACTATTATATCTTAACTGTTGTTTACGTATCGTCACCCAAATCATTGTTGATAAAATCTTCATACAGACACTCGATGTTGTCATTGGTGTATTAATCTTCTTACTATTGTCGACCGGAATTAAATAGCGATAATAGAGGATGTTAGGTTATTCTATTTACTTAATAACATTTAAATAAACTAGCAAAATATGGTTAAAATTTCTGTCTGGACATTTTACATGTTATCCACCATTATATTTATCTATTGTACGGCTCAAGGTCACATACTACGCTATAATTATTACACACCTGATCACAGTATTGTAGCCTTCATAGTTCCTTCAGTCTAACAGTTATATATTTTTTTTTCCTTTATAATATCACTTTAACGTTCAATATTTTTTTATCTGTTACTCTTATGTTTTCATTATTATTACCTATTGAGTTATCCTCTGCTGGGTCTGTGGTTGACTCCCCCACACCACAGTGATCCTCGCCCTCCCGGGGTCACAACCACAGAGAAGTATCTCCCCAAAATTTTTATTTTGTAGATGGCTAGTTTGTTTTAATTTGGAATTCTCGCTTAATCTAGATAGGTTTACAACCCTGTTTTGTGGCTGGAATGTCTCTCAGCCGAGTAAAATCGTCTGGTGTTAGCCAGAATAAACTATCTACAGTAAGTACCATTGCTCCTTAAAAGGTTAAAGACCCAAGCTGTTCAAGCGTAGTAATACATTATAACACTAAACATGCTCGGATTGGGATCAATAAACACCTTAAATGTGGTTCCAACTTAGAACCAAAATGTACAAGATTTTAGTACAGAAAATTGGATACAGGATTATGAGCTTAACTATAACTGTTTTAAGCAGCTTTGAGATACCTTCTCAAATACCTCGAAAATATTAGACGACGCGGACAGTTAGGAAAACTAAACAACTGAGTTATAAAACAATTATAATTAATTTGTCAAAAAAATTAATGAGGGCGGCATTTCTACTTCATGACGCTCCAATGTTGCTTCTTTAACGGCAACAAACTGCTCATAAATTAACACACTGTTTGTTGTAAACATTTATAGTTCACGTATCCAGCGTGACGGCCTGACAGCTCCTGCGGTCTGAGGACTCCCATGTGCTACTGTGTCTGCGAGGTTTATGACAAAGTACCCAACCACAACACACACCAAGTGTAAACAAATAAAGTACAAGATCAAAACAACCCAACTGGTGCAGGAAGACAATGGCAGTCAGGAATACAAGGTAACCGCGAGTCCTCTGGAATGAAGTCACCACAGTCACAAACACTCTTGAGATTGTTGTGTTTTATACCTAAATGTGGGATTTATTGTATAAATATCTTGGTTTGAGATGAATCCTTTATTATTTTTCAATTCAAATTAGTTAAAACATATGACTTCTCACTGCATGAGTTTTTACAGCGTCTTCATAACATTACACTTAACTCCCTCGGGCACCCTACTGTCGGGGCTCATGGTGACGAGGCTGCCGTCCTCAACATCTACCAAGAAAATTATCACCCGATATATTTTTATAATTAACAAAGACTGCATTAATAATATCATTCCATAAGTAATTACTATTCATATGAAATTATATGTCTGTAATGCAAATAGTTGATCTGTGGAGCATTAGTTGGGTGAGTGGCACAGTGGAGCATTAGTTAGGTGAGGGACACAGTGGAGCATTAGTTGGGTGAGGGACACAGTGGAGCATTAGTTAGGTGAGGGGTACAGTGGAGCATTAGTTAGGTGAGGGACACAGTGGAGCATTAGTTAGGTGAGGGGCACAGTGGAGCATTAGTTAGGTGAGGGACACAGTGGAGCATTAGTTGGGTGAGGGACACAGTGGAGCATTAGTTAGGTGAGGGGTACAGTGGAGCATTAGTTAGGTGAGGGACACAGTGGAGCATTAGTTAGGTGAGGGGCACAGTGGAGCATTAGTTAGGTCAGTGGCACAGTGGACCATTAGTTGGGTGAGGGACACAGTGGAGCATTAGTTAGGTGAGTGGCACAGTGGAAACATTTAATTGCATTGGGCGAAAAAAAATGTATAGGAAGTCAAAGTAAAGTGAAAAGAAATATAAGATCATGTTGAAGGTATTATTAGCTTTTGTATGTCAGCAGAGAGACCGGAGACCAAGATAAGGAGAGTTAACCGGGAGGAGAGGATAGTTACCTATACAAACTAGTTGGTGGTCAGCTTTAAATGACTGTCAGTGAAAGTTAGCTGGATCAAGGTTGGTGCTTCAGGTAAGAAAATTACCACAAATGATTGGAAGTTTTTGTGTCTATTGTGTTAACTATCGATGATCGGAGAGGATACCTGTATAAGTAACATCGATGTATTAAGCAAAAAATCGAATTAATATCAGAACTTTATGTAATGACTCTAATTTACCTGTATATGCCTGAAAATTTTCCACAATTTATAGTATTCAGTGAACGTTTTTCTGCTCTTCCTTGTAATTATAGGATTTGTTATTTTAATGTTAGATCACAGCACCTTACTTTGCTGGTCATTAATGACACTTACCTCAGACAACAATACTCCAGGCGACAGACTCTTCCCCCCAACCTGCCGCAGTTTCAGCTCTGACAGTGACGTCGTAATTTCCATTTTGTAAGTCACTCACTGTACCACTCAAGTGTGTTCCATCTACACTTTTGCTGATACTCTCGCCTCTCTCACCCTCAAAGAGGATCTCATAATATATTATCACTCCATTAACTTCTTCTGGGGGTGTCCAGAAGACAATGCCCACATTTCCATTTATTTCAATGATATTGATGACAGGAGGCCCCGGCTCTGGGATAGAAATATATATTACCAAGAGCAGTTAACAAAACTCATATACGTAGTTATGACTGAGAGCTTACCCTAATTGTACTATATATAAGATACTGTTTATATATTGTATTTGACATCACTAAGTATGTAGTGCACTTATGTAGTTGTAATTATAGATTTTCTGTTGTCCAAAAAGTTATGGAAAGTATAATGAGACTGCACATTTCACCAAGATAGTAAAAACTAGTGTTTAATTTTCTGGACCACCAGCACTACTTGTGTGAACCATCGGGAATGCTAGTAAGAAGCACCATCACCAAAAACGTGAAGCAATAGTCCCAGAGGTGTGAGCCATCTGCACCAGGTGTATGAGCATACAGTTGTGGTGTGTTAACCATGTTAACAAGTGGCGTCAAGCAGGATATAAGATGCACTCTATGAGGGAAATAATGAAGTAGTTTAAAATCCTGGAACATCTAATAAGGGGGTTCTTGATCTGTGGACCACTGCCACTTGTTTAAGAGGTGGAGGCACAGCTAATAAAACTAACCGCTCTTTAATGTAAACATAATTTACAAAGTTATCATAAAAATGTAAACAGTGAAGACGAACGACAACAGATTAAACACATTGTTGGTGGCAACATACAAAATTAATAATAATTAGGGTATCACGAACGGTCTGAAGGAAGCAAGAACACTCCCTGAGGAGACGTGACACGGCTTCTGTGCTGCTACAGTTAGAATGTTCGGCTGAATGAGAGATAGGGTTCATTGAAGATCAGGTTCAGCGTCCAACTCTGAGCGGTATTGTGTCTTGATCACCAAAAGCGCAGAGAAACAAGACCAAAAACATATGGAAAGGAGAAGAGTGAGAATTCCTAGTGCGAGATGACCGACTGTACAATGCACGACTCTTGGGTCTTCGGTCAAAATGTGGCGTTGATGAGGTCCAAGAACTCTTCCTGTAACTCATCAAAAAATTCATCTACTTGGTAACTTATGAGAATTTTTCATGAGTAACATGACTACCCAACTCGATTTCAGGACTGTAAGATGCAGATGTGTGCCTGGTATCCACTTTTCTCCTCCACAGTTTAAGATCCACTTTAAAGCAGGTATGAGGTCGGTGTGGCTGATGGTGGATTTTGTCCCTCCCTTGAACCATCAGATTCACTCCACTCAATGTTTGAAAGATATGAGTGAAGGCGAGAGAGAACATAAAGCTCGTTGATAAAAGAAGACTAAAGATCATGTTTGCCTGAGCACCCAGGAACGTTGCCCTTGGACAAACAGCGGACTTGTGTGTGGAACAATACACTTTGGTGAGCCGCATCCATGTCCTGACACAAGAGTTGAACAGACGTGTATTAAGAGTCCACCTGTGACGTAGTTGACGAACTTGATTGTTTTCAGCACCAAATACAAGTCTTGGGGATGCGTCTTTCAAGTCAGTGCTTCACGGTGAATCATGTTTATATACGGAAATGAATAGTGATCAGTAGATCTTGTTAATGAACGTTACACACCTCAAATATAAATATACAAAAATATATAAAGCAAAGGAATATATATTTCGTACATTTTACACGAGCAGTATGGTAGTTTTCAGGTTATTAGCAATGTGGCAAATGCTCTATGCTACCAGAGCTATGCATATTACTGTGCAGTAATTTACTCTTATGAATTCGAGGTATTTTAGGTTATTTAACACACACACACACACACACACACACACACACACACACACACACACACATAGTGCAGTTTTTGTGAGAGTTGTTGCCACTGATGTAAGTATTGTGTTATGGTTGACGGTGGAGTACAGTGTATCATCTATACATAAATCAACAAGAATAAAGAGAGTCAACTTACTGTCCTGTTGTGTAACATTCCAGCATGTTAGAGGTGGACCAAAACCTAAATCAGTGGCTGCTGCAATATTAACTGTGACAATGGCGTAAGCAGGAAGGTCCCACACAGAAGTGTGAGTTCCGGTACTGAGTGTTTCACCTGAGCCGTGCTCGTCCTCCCACAGACTGGACCATGACCAGCTGATATTGTAGTTTCTAATATAACACCCTGTGTCTGGCGCACTCCAGGTAAGATACATCGAGTTTGTGGTAATGCGGTCAAAGTCACAGTTCAGTGGTGGTGGCGGTACTGAGGAAAGATGTGAAAGACTTAGTTAAGGTACACACACACACACACACACACACACACACACACACACACACACACACACACACACACACACACACACACACACACACACACACACACACACACACACACAACGTAAACACCTAAAAAGTGCAAAAGAGGGCATGCAAGATTATTCTCTCCCTTCCTACTCCACATATCAAGAAGCGCTCAACACACTGACCCTTTCGACTCTCACTGACCATCACCACGACCTCATCTGCAAATTTGGTAAGAAGCTTCTACACCATCCCCGACACCGGCTCCTACTACCACCTGAGATCCCTAGTCCAGAATTGCTGTTCGACACCACAACCGCATCCAGCCCATACGTGCACGAACTGATCGCTATAAGAACAGCCCAGTCCCTACCATTGTAAAAATTATCAATAACTTGTAATAAATCAGTGTATTCACTCCCAGTAAACACTACTCCTTACACTGTCACTATGTTGAAATGAACTGTAGTTTGAGCTTTTCCCCATCTAGTTATTATATGTCTTATTTGTGTCACTATGTTACTTGTATATTATTTGTAATTCGTAACCCATTCCCCAAATATGTAACTGTATATTTTCAGCCTGCTGGCTGCCAAGCTCTTTCAATAAACCGTTAATTATTATTATTATTATTATTCACACACACACACACACACACCTGAGCACAGAAAGTTGAGTTATCGCATGGCAAGTGATATTTAATTTACAGCAGTAACGATCTTTGACTGTCATCTGGCGAAGAAATATAAACAACAAAATTTGAAATATTATAATTTTAGCGCCAGTGACCTTGACTTTTGACTATGAACTGTAAAAGCAAATGGGTCTTACTTTCGTAGCACCAATGTACTGTATGTACTTGTTCTTAGAAACTTTACTCACGGATCTGGAACTAAATCATAGGTTTACTGTAGAAAAGAGAGGAGGTACAGATATAAAGCAATTACTAAAAATAAATTGTATTATTTTTGCTATTTACCATGTCTCCATCACGCAAATCGCGTGAAATTTTCAATATTCAAGCCACTTCAGAAATGCGTTATAGTGTCATGCTTGTTCAGTCATCCTAACAAATGATCTTTACTTAAAGAACTTCTAACACGCCTCAGAACAACAAAATCTAAAGTGGAGGACCCTATATCACAAGCGAAATTAAGATAATGATAAAAGAAAAACAGAAACTCCAAAGGAAATTTGCAAAAAGACCCATAACTTTCGGTGATGCTTACCGAAGTATCAGAAATAGAGTAACTCAGGCAGTTAAAAATGTCAGACGTAACTATTATACAAATAAGCTCCAATCAGCTTCAGGCGACGGTAAGAAAACCTGGAATGACATAAATTCTATTCAGAACAGGAACACTCAGCCTTCGGCCCCCCATTCAGCTTTTATGATAAATGATTCAGTTGTAACGGAACCCTCCTTCATTGCAAATCAATTCAATTAATATTTTATTAATGTTGGCAAAAATCTTGCAGAGAGCATCCCTGATCACCATGAGGAATTTAGAGCCTACCTGCAAAACAGACAGCAAAATGAGCTGTTCTTATCCCCTGTCACAACAGATGATTTACTGTCCATAAAAATGTCCAAAGATGCAGCAGCAGGCGAAGACAATATACCAATGAGCATCATTAAGAAAGTAGCCCACTTATTACTACCTGTTCTCCTGCACATTTGTAACTCCTCCTTCACTAGTGGTGTCTTTACGGATATACTTAAAATTGCTAAATTTCACCCTGCCTATAAAAAATCTGGGGACAAAGGTCTCTTCAAGAATTACCACATATCAGTCCTCCCAGCCTTGAGTAAGATACTTGAAAAGCTAGCATCTTTACAGACTCCCAGTTTGGATTTAGAGCTAGAAGGTCGACTGAGAGTGCTCTGCTATCGTTTACTAATGACATCTTAAATTCCTTTGATGACAGTCAGTTTACAGTCTGTATATTCTTGGACCTCTCTAAAGTCTTCGATACTGTCGACCATACCATCCTACTTTCAAAGCGTGAACATTACGGCGTTAAGGGCCTATCCCACAATTGGTTTACCTCATATCTGTCCAACAGGATACAATATGTCTGATATAATAATCACCAATCTGACTCCTCGCCAATCTTGTAAGGCGTCCCCCAAGGTTCCATTCTCTGTTCAGTACTGTTTTTGTTGTACATAAACGACATAGTCCACGCCAGCACACTCATAAATTACAACATATTTGCAGACGATAGTAAACTCCATGCCAGCAACTCAGACCTCCATTCCTTGATGAGAACTATGAACACTGAATTAACTAAAGTCAGGACCTGGGTAATACGTAATAAACTGACCTTAAACCTTGAGAAAACCAACTACACGATCTTTCACAGAAGGAAAAACTTACCCCAGACTTGGACCCTCTGTACCTTGGTAATAGAGTCCTCAAACGCTAACGAAATACTAAATTCCTCGGAGTTATTGTTGACGAGAAACTTAACTGGAGAAACCACATACAAACCATTCACAGTAAAGTCAATAAACAGTGCGGTATCATGTATCACACTCGATAGTCACTCACTCTCGCAGCAATGAAAGAAATCTATCATGATCTTGTTTACCGACACCTGATTCACTGTCACACACTATGGCTCTGGCTCTTCAAAAACGCAATCCCTGGTTACTGCACAAAAGAGAGTTTTACGGACAATGAACTACTTGAAAAAAACAGATTGCACAAACGAAAAATTTGCTAAATTGAAAATTTTTAAATTCGAAGATATTAACGCCTACTGCTGGGCCCTCTTTGTTTACAAATCTATCAATCACTTGCTTGACAATAATTATTTCCACTTCCGGAATAATCAGAGATACAACTTAAGACACTTCGAGCTACTAAGACCACCCCTCATGTGCTCCTCTCAGTCCCAGACCTCCATAAAATATCACGGTGTGAAGGTGTGGAACAACTTACCCCCACCCATCCGAGCAAAGACTACGCTCCCTTCCTTTAAATCATCTCTAAAAAAAATATCTATTGTCTAAGTATTAATATTTCTTGTAATAACTACTATATTTACAGTACCTGCTTTTATTGTACCATCAAAACTGTTTTATCGGAAATATCATGTAAATAGATAAGAAATTACCATTGCAATAAACATATTTGCCAACTAGACATAATCTTGACAGCTTTGTCCTCTTGTTCAACCTTAATACTGCTCAACCCATGTTGTGCTGCTCCCCCATTACACTTATGTTTTTCAATTCCACTGTAATTTATGTATTTGCTTATAATATAAAAAATATTTAAATGAAATATATATATATTGAAGTGATAACCGTGGTAACATTATGAGATGTTTTTATTACCACCATGCTATTGTACTATTCCAGATGTTAGTAAATGTTACATAATTCTTCCTTGAGATAAATGTATAGTATATACCAGGTGCCTAAAAGAGAGCTCAGGTTTTCAACTGGCTCAGCCATGTTAATATTGTTTTTATTATCCACTCTGTATCTGTGTTTTTCTGGTTAAATAAGCTGTTTCAATTCAATTCAATTCAATTCTCACCTCAACAAGGTTTAGGTTGACTGAAACAGAAAAACTTAAAAGATATCTCGACTCATTTTCATAATAGTGATCCCTCTTATCGTTTAGCCACCAAGACTAGATGACCACAACACCCGAGGACTTACCTGAATCCAGTGTTTTGCCCATCACAGGGGTAGCCATATACTCGTCATTCCCGTACTCAGACGCTACTGAAATCTCATATTCTGTACACGGTTCCAGTCCTTCCAAGATGTAAGAGGTGGTGTATACTGGTACTCCCGGCGCAGTACCAACAGCGATACTGTAATAGTCGGGATCTTCAGATGGCGGGTCCCATGATACCCTTAGGGCGCTCTCTGACACTGCTGTCACCGTCACATCCTGGGGGGCACCTCCTGAGAGAAACAATTGTTGTAAATGATTATGTTGAGCGTGAGAGACAATGAGAAAAACTATAATTTTGTGTTTCATCAAATTTGTATTAAAATGCAAGATTTTTCATCGTCACTATATCGAAAATAAATATGACGACAAAACATTAGCGAGAAGGAATAGGTAGGAGAGAGAGAGAGAGAGAGAGAGAGAGAGAGAGAGAGAGATGTCCCTCGCGTCTCACTGATCAATGTCAACAACAATGACAACAAACTATGGTAAAAGTAATTTATTACAACTAACTAAGCTTGATAGTGGTCTCTAGCTCGTATATATGGTGATTGTAACTATAGCGTCTCCAAACGGCCAACCTATATGACCTATCGCAAACCTATCCACCAGTCACGTCCGTCGTTACACAACCAATACCCATTCATTCATAAATAGTAGTTTTCAGAATATTAGCAATGTGACATATGCACTATGCTACCAAGGCTAAGTATATTACTGTGCAGTAATTTACTCTTATGAATTCGAGGTATTTTGGGTTATATAACACACACACACACACACATAGTGCAGTTTTTGTGAGAGTTGTTGCCACTGATGTAAGTATTGTGTTCTGGTTGACGGTGGAGTATTATGTATCATTCTACACATAAATGAACAATAATAAAGAGAGTCGACTTACTGTCGTGTTGTGTAACACTCCAGCATGTTAGAGGTGGACCAAAACCTGCATCAGTGGCTGCTGCAATATTAACTGTGACGTTGGCGTACGGAGGAAGGTCACTCAGAGAAGTGTGAGTTACGGTACTGAGTGTTTCACCTGAGTCGTGCTCGTCCTCCCACAGACTGGACCATGACCAGCTGATATTGTAGTTTCTAATATGACACGCTGTGTCTGGCGCACTCCAGGTAAGATACATCGAGTTAGTGGTAATGTGGCCAAAGTGACAGTTCAGTGGTGGTGGCGGTACTGTGGAAAGATGTGAAAGACTTAGTTGAGGCACAGACAGACAGACAGACAGACAGACAGACAGACAGACAGACAGACAGACACTACACACACACACACACACACACACACACACACACACACACACACACACACACACACACACACACACACACACACACACACACACACACACACACACACACACACACACACACTACCTGTAACACCCGTAGAAACGCTGTCAGAGCAGTTGACTTACAAATATTACTGTATCTATAGGTTGATAATATTCAAGTTAACATTATTTACTTATTATGACCTACCACAACAAGCAAGCGTCTCTTAATGTTAAAGTTTCATCTTAAATATAATAGAAAAATAAGACTTGATGAGAGCAACACAAGTCTTACCTGAAGCTAATGTTGTGCCAGACGTAGGGGGAGAAGAATACTGTATACTTCCGTAATCAGACGTTACAGTATAAAAATATGTTGTACAAGGTTGTAGTTCATCTATTAAACAGTAGGTGGTATATGCCAATTCGTTAAAAGAATCTCTAACATCAGTGACTTCATAGTACTGAGGTTCTTCATCAGGTGGGTCCCATGACATGTTGAGGGCGGTGCCTGAGACTGCCTCCACTATCACGTTGAGGGGCGGCCCTTCTGAGGGAGACAATAGGTGTGAGAGGTGATGTCGAGGTGTGAGTCCTCATATAATACAACATTCTACCGGATGTGAAACCGAACGGATAATCTATTACCAAAATAATTTAATTACTCAATAATACCTAAACCCATAACTAGAATCTCTCTCTCTCTCTCTCTCTCTCTCTCTCTCTCTCTCTCTCATGTTGTGTATAGTGTAACAAATTAACTGTTTGTTTCCTTTTAATTCTTTATATTTGTTTATATTTATTTTATTCTTTCTTTTATTCTTTACTCTATTATCTCATTATCTTTTCTTCTCTGTCCATTATACTCGTAAGATTAGTGAGATGAGGAAGGTTAGGATGGAGTGGAGTGGAGGGAGTGGAGAGGATGGAGTGAGGGAGGTAGTGGGAGGTAATTGTTTACATTTGAGGAGAGGGTGTGAGGGGAGGGGAGGAAGTTGTGGTCAGGCTTCTCACACCAAGGGGAGGCTGAGGTGGTGGCGAGCTGTGTACTACGATACAACGCTCAACAGAGGAGAATATAAAATACTTGTTATTCAGAACTTAGGACTCACTGTATTACTGCATAATACCAAGACATTTATAACACATCACTCTTTCTCAACAAGGGAGGGATGAATTAGGATTCTTATTAACGGTTACTATATTTATTGAATGCTTTCCATTAGGGTTTGACGATTATACTTCAAAACAATAAACCTGTCTTCCAAGCTTGCTATCCAAGGGGTCCATGACTCAATACATTTCGGGAAACGGGTAAACCTAATATGTACTCACATTTTAGCCGCCATGTGGTGAGCTGGCACAAACACACATCCACACTTAGATCTCCCCAAACACAGACTCCGCTTTTCAAACTGCCTCAGCCCACAAGGGATGTTATAACTTTCATGACGTGACGTCTCGCGGCTTTTTCATTGGTGCCCGGAAGGTCTAAGGTATTTCTATTGGTTCGAACTTGGCTAGAAACTCCTGACATTGTTACAATAGGTTAGGTTAGGTTTGCTAAAATTTCATATAACCTCACACTAAACCTAGACTGAACTAATCCACTCTGGACACCACAGTTGTTAAACTTAGTATTCCTTTTGGGAGATTATTGTTTACGAGAATAGTTGTCTAGTTGTACACGGCTGTATCTATGTCACTACACCCTGTACATAAAATCCCTCCTAGATAATTCAATGCATGTACCACTAAAGGTAATACATTTCTATAAATTATACAATATAAGACAGTAATTTCCTGGGTACCACCAAATTCTTTAAAGAATCTATAATTAGCTTTACAGGTGAGATAATTACTTTAACAAGAAACTGAGAATAAATTTCAGGTAAAACTATTGTAATTCTATTTTTTAAGGCAAAACTGTTCCTTCCAGCATATATAATGGTGACGTAAGTGACTGCTCTGTTGGCTGTGACAGGTAATTGTTTTGGGTGTATAAGTTCTGAGAATTGTTTGTCAATATAAGTGTCGATGAAGATTTTTTATTAAATCATTTGTCGTTAAAGTTCTCTCTAGGAATTATACCTAACCTAACCTAACCGTGTTTAACAAGACCAGACCATTCTACCACTTGAGTTTATAACTACGGAGCCCCAATAACTTGACTCGATCTACATTAGGCAGAGGCAACCTCGATGGGTCATTCCAACTTCATAATGCTGAAGGTTTGGAATTGTGTTCACTTATTCATCTTCCTCCCCAAGATCGGGAAGGTTGCGTTGATGTTCTTATACCAAAGTTTGTTATAATTCTTGCGACACAGGCAATGATAAACCCAACTACAAATTTGTCAACCCATGTAAGGCTCCTTGACCACCGCCAAGAACATAGTTATACCCAGTTGAGTGTCTTGAGTGTCGTGTGTAATCCTAGAGGTAATGGTGTTCCATGTTGGGTGACACCTCAGGCAGTATAGTTTTCCGAGGACAATAGTGCAGCCACCATAAATTCCTCAAGTCAATCCGGGACATACTGTAATGGCAACGTCGTCACGTGTGTCAACGTCTATAGAATTTTATTCCAAGATGCATATAAGGTAGTGTACTGCTGAGTAGCCTCCCAGTTTACCCCTTAGGAGGGATTTTACCAACCGTTGTGGACAAGACAACAAGAAGCAGTAAGAAGAGCTTGACGCTCTCCACATCAGACCTTCAGCGTGACTCATTGCTGCTCCTCCACTGTCCTCGGTGGCAGCAGCCAGAAGCAGGACGTACAGCAGCAGCAAAACCCTCGACCAGCACAGCATGTTGGTGGTGTGTGGCGCTGCCAGCTGTGATGGACTAGCTGGGGTGGTGAAACCGTTTTAATGAGAGTTATTATCTTGACACACGTTATCATATCTAACGACATGCTGGAAATTTCGTAGAAAACTGCTGTGAATTTTTTTTCCTGTTGTTGAATGACCTTAAGGCTAGGCAGGTACGATTTAATTAACAAATTTGTTTGCCTAATACATAAAATAGTAATTTGTCATCTATTTATATCCGGAGAGTGAACTTTACGTGTGACGCTAAAGATGGATAATCACCGGTACAATTTAATGGATATTAATTCTTATTTCGAAAAATTTGCTTTGTTGCATGTAAGACGTCTTTAACTATCATAAGATAATCAAGTTGTACCTAAAGTAGGATTGGCTAGGTTAGGTTAGGTCTTATATGAAACTATTCTTTAAAATATTTTATAATGAGCTATATGATTGTCCAAGTTAAAAAAAACAACAGGAACATCACCGACGTTATCGCTATTAGGCAATTATTCCTATGCAGTAAATACACCGTGCATATTTTAATGTACTTTAACTTTTTGGCTGTTGTACCAACGCTTATTATTATTATTATTATTATTATTATTATTATTATTATTATTATTAGTAGTAGTAGTAGTAGTAGTAGTATTAGTAGTAGTAGTAGTAGTAGTAGTAGTAGTAGTAGTAGTAGTAGTAGTAGTAGTAGTATTCATTTATATAAAAAAAATAAACTACAGCAACATAAAGTACAATAATGTCATTCCACACCTCCTTAAACAAACAATAGTCGTGTGTATAGAGACAAGAGTTTATAAACAAAATTTATTCTTATTATAGTCAAGTTTGTCACGTTAGCCAGAGGAAAGGGATTACTGTTTCCTTACAACACACAGTTTAGAGAATTTGTTGAGTGAGTGAGTGTATGTGTGAGTGTTTAATAATAATAAATAATAATAATTAACGGTTTATTGAAAGAGCTTGGCAGCCAGAAGGCTGAAAATATACAGTTACATAATTGGGGATTGGGTTTCGATTTACAAATAATATACAAGTAACATAAGTGATACAAATAAGATATATAATAACTAGATGGGGAAAAGCTCAAACTACAGGGCATTTCAACATAGTGACAGTGCAAGAAGTAGGATTTACTGGGAGTGAATACGCTGGTTTATTACAAGTTATTGATAATTATAATTTTTACAATAGTTGGAACTGGGCTGTTCTTATAGCGATCAGTACGTGCACGTATGGGCTGGATGCGGTTGTGGTGTCGAATAGCAATTCTCGGGCTAGGGATCTCAGGTGGTAGTAGGAGCCGGTGTAGAGGATGGTGCAGAAGCTTCTTACCAAATTTGCAGATGAGGTCGTGGTGATGGTCAGTGAGTCGAAAGGGTCAGTGTGTTGAGCGCTTCTTGATATGTGGAGTGGGAAGGGGAGAGAATAATCTTGCATGCATGTGTGTGTGTGTGTGTTTCAAGATCTTGCCTCACGTTGATGGTTACAGCTGCCTTCCTTCCCACGAGAGACAACGATAATGATACGAAAAAACAGCCAAAGAACGGGACACTTTTATCTTTCTTCAACCATTTTAAAAGTCCCTTGGGAGTGACACCATATGAGGGACATTTCTCCTCCCCACTCTCCCACACTACTCCACCCCCACAACTACACACCCCCATCCCCACATATCCCACACCCTCATACACCCCCACACCCTCACCCCCACTCCACACACACACACACAATAAATAAAATAAATAAGAAGTCAAATGCATTAAATAAAGGCACAAACCTGACAACTTTCTAGTTAGTTGGGCCAGAAATGAAGGACTTAGGATCATTTGTTGATTATTTCCAAAAAGTAAAAAAGAAAGAAAAACGCAATAAAAACACGACGGCCTTTTAACAGGTAGATTTGTCAACGTCTAAATGTTTACCTCGATTTTATTTAGGCCACCAGCATTATGTAGTACCTTCAGGGAGACAACTTAATATGCTCTCTTATCATATCTTACGAGGATATTTAAAAGTATAAGTTTATGAGAACAAGAAAAGTAAGTGTGTGTGTGTGTGTGTGTGTGTGTGTGTGTGTGTGTGTGTGTGTGTGTGTGTGTGTGTGTGTGTGTGTTTTCCACAGAGCAAGAATCAAGACTACAATGTTGGACACAAGGAAAACTTTTCCAGAAATATATACATAACCTTTACTCTATCTAACCTAACCTAACCATTTCTGAGTTATTTTTGTTTATTTAGGATCTGTCTTTACTATGGTCTTGGATCACTTCGTAAGCCTGTCTTCCCATCGTTGCGGGAAAATTTATCATACTGAAATGATTTCAATGTCATATGATATTTCTTTGCCAAATTTCAGCTCTCTTACTTCTGAACTGTAGCCGTGGATAGTAAACAGACAGACAAACGAACGTACACTTTGGGCTACAGACTAGTATTGCTTGTAGTCGTTATGTGTATATTCCTCCTACCTGGATTATGTAAGATGTGGAATAATACTTAATGAACGGATAATTAATGCAATAGGGATATTATTGAGAAAATATAAGCTATCAATTTAAATAGTTATATAGATCATCTCTTCAGTATCAAATAGGATTATGGTTCTTGGATTCCCCTCACCACAAAGTCACCTGCGTACAAACATATTTAAAGTACTAATGTACAACGTAAGACTGAAGGACAACCTGCTGGCGATGGTCAAGATGTACAGTAGCTAAAACAACTGTCTGTGCATACTTTGTGGGAAACAATACGAGACCAGAGACGATAAATTTTGGTATATGAGGGCTGTCACTAATCACACGTAAATTTAGGAGCATATCGACCCCCACCTGCACAGATAGTTGTTTTAGCTACTGTACACCTGTCTAGTGTCTTCGGTAACGGAGAACAAAGAACAAATATAAAAGGTAATTCGAATTAGATTAAATGTAATGTTTATTTAATGGTGTGTCCCCGTCCTCCTGCCTGCCAGGTGATAAGATAAAGCAGCTGGGTTATAAGAGGAGCTGCTGCCCGCCACCACACACCTGGTTGACGGCCGCACACCGAGATGCTGTTGAAGTTTGTGGTGGTGTGTGTGGTGGTGGGCGTGGTGACTCCCGCCCTCAAGAGTGAATGGCCCTGTCCCGACTCGGCAGACATTGTTCCATGTTCATGCACTGATGACTCTTACCTCAATTTGAAGCTCGACTGTTCGGGAGTTCAAGATACCGACCAGTTAGTGAGAGCGTTTTCTACTCCCTTTCCCTTCCCGACCTTTTTGGAGTTCATGATTGATCACTCAGCAAACCCCAACAAGAGTAATCTAACCGTTCTCCCGCCTAACTTGTTCAAAGGGTTAACCTTTGAAAGAATCATCATCAAAGGAACACAACTCTTCGACATAGAAGAAAATGTCTTCACCGAGTCATACAAAACTTTGAAATATCTGAATCTTGCAGACAATATGCTCCAAAAATTTCCATTCGAGACGCTCGATGGTTACACAATACTCTCTAACCTTGTCCTGGACAACAACCATCTTCCTGCACTTCCAAGAATAGTTTCTGATTCGTTGGAAATTCTCAGTGTAAGTGGGAACACGGATATGGAACTCTTGCCCGATGTATTCACCAAGACTTCGGTCTTAAGCAGGATTAACATGGCACGGATTGGCCTCACCAACATTAGACCAAACCTGTTTTTTAATCTAAATGAACCTGTTATAATTAACCTGGCGGACAACAAAATATCGTACCTGGACGAGTTTGCCATCAACCCTCCCTCCAACACTCTCTTGCAGGTCATCCTAGACGGGAACACCATCAGCAACATTCGTCATGACTCAATACAGGGTGAGTCTCAACCTGTTAACTCTCTTCAACAGTTATTACTACCTTTACACTTCCTACTAACACACCTTCCACTATTCTCACGTAACACTCCTACACTTCAACTGGTATCCATTACATCGATGTTTTCTTGAAATAAAAGCCACGTCTTTAGCCCGCTCATTCTCGAGAAAATGAGAAGAATTACTATCATGAATTCTGTTTTCCCCGTCCTCGCCTTCGTAGCCGTCTTTATCATCGTCGCCATCAGTACCATTAACTACTACTATTACTACTATTGTTACTACTAATATCACTCCAGTACTTCTCTACCTTCCACAACTATACCATCACCACCACTACCCGCCACACATGTATATAAGCACAAGGCTTTACAATGTCATGTTTCACTCCACATTCATTCTGTTTGTCAGGTAGTAGGTAGGAGGCAGCTAACAAACTGGGAGGTTGCTGATCTGACTTTCTGCCTCATTTACACACTATTGCAGGGCTTCAATTGTTTCTCTTACTTTGACAACACAACATACATATACCATTTCTCACTTTCGATTTTTTTTTATGCATTGATCTTTATGATTATTATTATTATTATTATTATTATTATTATTATTATTATTATTATAATTTATATGTATTTTTATTGATAGTTATTAATATTATTCTTCTTTTTATTATTATTATTTTACTAGCGGAATCGCGCTCTTTCGCTAGGCCACGGTAGGACGCCACCCTCCAGGAGGCTCCACATTGTCTCACTGTAGTGTATTAAGGTAGACCACATTTTTGGTTTTACCATTAGCAGCAAGTATGTACAGATTTTTGCCAGTTCCCACTCTGGAGCATCCAACATAGAACTGTCCATGAGAGAAGCAAGGAAACACCAGGTTTAGGCCAACCATCTTTAGGGACTGTCCCTGGCTTTTGTAGATAGTCATGGCAAAGCTCACTTTAACCGGGAACTGAAGTCGCTTGAACTCAAATGGCAGGTCAGTGGTGATGAGAGGTATCCTTGGTATAAAAACGTCCTCTCCTTCAGCTTTTCCTGTCAGTATTGTAGCTTCCAGTACATGTGGTATCATGTTCTTCACCGCCAGTCTTGTGCCATTGCAATGGATTGGTGGTTCAAGATTTCTTAAGAGCATTATAGGAGTTCCAATCTTGAGAATGAGGTGGTGAGGAGGCATTCCAGCGGGCTCCAAAGAATTAAGGAATTCTGCAGGGTACTGGACTGCTTAGTCCTGGTCGATTACTGTATCAACAGATTTGAATGAGGTCTCACTGCCTGGAAGCTGTCTGAGTAGAGTCATGTTGATTTCAGCCACTGTTTCATTTTTTGGTGCCAGAATTGCGCGTTCACGCAGCCACCTGTGATCCTTGTAGTGGTGGATAATGTTTGGGTAGACCATGTTAGTGAGCTCAGTTGAGGACTTTACAACAGTTCCACATCCTTGAGGAATGATTATTTGTTCTGAATCAACAGGGAAAGTTCCATTCCCAATCTGTAGTAGAAGGTTTGCAAACCGTCCAGCATCCTGATCTCCTTGTAGATGTACTCTCAGTTCATCAGCTGGAGTGCTTCGAGGAATGACAGGTAGGGTCTAGCGAAAGTTTCCAGCAATGACCATTGTATTGCCGCCAATGAGCTGGTCATTTTCTCGTATGTTTTGCAAGGTCCTGTCCTATGCTTCAAACGCTAACTTGTGAGACATTGTGCATTCATCCAAGACTATGAGGCTGCATTTTCTAAGAGTTTTGCCTTTGCCGATCTTTTTTTGATGTTGCACACTGGATTCTCATTGTGAGCGAGGTTAAGAGGCAGTTTAAAAGTTGAGTGTGCAGTACGTCCTCCTTCTAGTAGTGTTGCAGCAATGCCTGAGGGTGCAACAGCAAGAGCAATTTACCCCTGATGACGTACTTTGGCCAACAGAAGGTTGATCAGGAATGCTTTTCCTGTCCCGCCAGGTGCATCGAGAAAGATCATACCTCCCTGCTCCGCTTGTATCGCCAGCAAGATCTGTTCATAAGCACTTGCTTGATCAGGCACCAGGTGGGGCTCATTTTCTTCAAGAAAATTCACCAGAACTTCAACTGAGTAGTCTTTCTCTCTGAGCAACTCCCTGTTTGCAACTACTGTTCAGTCCCCAAAACTTCTTCTTCCATCAATAGTTCATTAACGGTGTATATAAGTTCCACTACAACAGTACAGCAAAGTATATTGTTTTTAGCATTAAACTGTTATTATTTTATTGTCTAATCATCACTACATATAACACCATCCATCATCACTACATATAACACCACCCATCATCACTACATATAACATCATCCATCATCACTACATATAACACCATCATCATCATATAACACCACCCATCATCACTACATATAACATCATCCATCATCACTACATATAACACCATCCATCATCACTACATATAACACCATCCATCATCACTACATATAACATCATCCATCATCACTCATCATATAACACCATCCATCATCACTACATATAACAACACCCATCATCACTACATATAACAATATCCATCATCACTACATATAACAACATCCATCATCATTACATATAACAACATCCATCATCATTACATGTAATGCCATCCATCATCATCACTACATATAACACCATCCATCATCATCACTACATATAACACCATCCATCTACAGATAGGTAAAGTAGTTTCCGAGATTCTCGTGCGGACACACAAACAAACAAACAAACACACAGACATACTTCTTTGTTTTATATATATATATATATATATATATATATATATATATATATATATATATATATATATTCATTAGCCTAATAAAGCACGAGGACTTCTACATAGCGTTCCCCGGTCACAGTCATGGGCTCGTGGTCGTGGGTTCGAATCCTGGCAGGGTGAGTGTTGATTATATATATATATATATATATATATATATATATATATATATATATATATATATATATATATATATATATATATATATATATATATATATATATATATATATATATATATATATATTTATTTATTTATTCATATATATACATATAAAGAGAGAGAGAGATTAAATCCTCCTCCCCCCCAAGGGTGGGTAATTATAAAACCTGTGCCCGGGTGGGCTAATGCCCGTAAAAATTAAACTCACCTTACCTCCATCTATAATGCTGCCGACGTTAAAGTATCATACAGCAGCATTAAGTATACAGGTATGGCCACGTTCATTGAGATAACAAACTCAACAGAAAAAAAATTATGTTTATGTTGATGTGATTCTCCTTTCACTTCAGGTCTGGCCCCAAATGCATATCTTAGTATGAGCAAAAACCGAATCACTGAAATTACGGAGACTGTCTGGAGACACATCTTTGACCAGATACCAAACGGCTCTCTTGATCTATCAGGTAAGTCAAATATTACCCTCTCTGACCTGTCATCAGCTGAGTCTGGTGCCTCATTACAAGGTCTAATCACAAGAAAGATTCTGCTCTCTATATCTTTGGTGAAATTGAATATCTGATAATAATAATAAAGTTAGGTCAAACAAGTACAGTATATGCAGATTTAGGCATAAATTACAGGTATAATGAGGTGCCTTTAATGAATGGATCTAAGAAATTTAATCAGGAGTGTGTTTGTCATGTTGCAGTTAACCCTCTGCTGTGTGGTTGTGACGTGTACTGGATCTTCCACTGCACAGAGCACACGTACCGCAAAACCTTCACTCCAACTACTACCTGCTACGACAACACACAAGTTCTTTACCTGGACTGTAACTTCTTCGAGGCAGAATGCAACGTCCTTCAATAGCAAAACGGCCCTTAGACTACACAAGCAAAAGATATATCACCCCACGACAACATAAGTAGGATATATATATAATTCCACGACAACATAAGTAGGATATATATATCACTCCACGACAACATAAACAGGATATATATCACTCCATGACAACATAAGTAGGATATATATCACTCCACGACAACATAAACAGGATATATATCACTCCACGACAACATAAGTAGGATATATATCACTACAAGACAATATAAGCAGGATATAAGCAGCACGACAAAGGGTTGAATTCCTTATGCACCTATAACTTACAATGTTGAGGGACTCCAATTATGTTAACAAGTGCTTATCATACGATTAAGTTTATGGATTGTATTCTGTGAGGTGTTTCTATAACAAAAGTTAAATTATTGTACTCTATTATATGCTTTGTATAACATGTCACTGTATTATGCAAATAAATGAAATAAATTGTATATTACAACAATAATGCTTTACCTACAAACATTATAAACTTTTAGTGAAGATAATTTATTAACCCCTTGTGTAAACTCGCTCAAAAAAAGTATTTTTACGATTTTGTGTGAGACAATATGACAAAACGGACGAAGGACTTTGACAACCTTACCGAGACAACAGGAGTCAGTGTTCATTTTGAAATTCATAAGACCCTTCCGTAAAGATTGGGTGGGGGGCGAGTGTACACGGGTGTCTCTCAGCTGAATAAAATCGTTTGACGTTGGTCCAATAAGCTACTAAAAGTGACGTTCTTGTACAGTATGTTGAATGGATTAAGATGTTGCTAAGCTCTTGGCTATAGGAGAATCAAAATCATGGTGGCACACAAGAGACCCAGTGTGTCATCTTGGTGTAGGTCAGTGGAGGTAGCGTTGTCTACTGGCAGTCGGATCAGGTAAAGTAAGATAATTAGTTTAGAACACAAGGACGCTGGGATGTCAACTCTTAAGATAAATAAGAGGCAGGTTAATTCCCAGCTCCCGTAGGATCTCCTCTCACCCAGTCAGTCCTCTGTGGTCACCTGCTTGTCATGTTGAATTGGGATTTGGAATTATCAACGCGGTGTCGATATAATTTTTTCCTTTGTCGCTTCAACTGCCGGAGATATTATTCAACAATCAGTATAGTTTCCCTGGTTATAATCTATTATATGTAATAGTTATGCGGATATATATTTTCTGAAGGATATTATACAAGATATAAATATATTTTTTAATAATTTGACAAACAGAAACAGAAGTAAAAAAATAAATGCTAAAGGATATAATATAAACCAGTATCTACAGGTATCGTCTAAAGGTAAAGACAGATCTACAAGTTTGTGAAATGGTTAAGTTGAGTTAGGTTAGGTTAGGTTAGGTTAGGTTAGGTTAGGTTGGGTTGGGTTAGGTTAGGTTAGATTAGGTTAGGTTAGGTTAGGTTAGGTTAGGTTAAGTTGGGTTAGGTTAGGTTAAGTTGGGTTAGGTTAAGTTGGGTTAGGTTAGGTTAGGTTAAGTTGGGTTGGGTTAGGTTAGGTTAGGTTAAGTTGGGTTAGGTTAGGTTAGGTTAAGTTGGGTTAGGTTAAGATCAACACAAACGTGTATCTTGATGCAACACTGCTCTCAGAATGAAGTAAACTGTAAAAAAGGATATGAAAAGGGTTTCTTGAGTGTCACAAATGGCAAACCATTTTAAAGGTATATGATTACCAAATAAACCCTTGCAAATAGAAAGGGTTATATTATTAACCTCTAAGACCTTGCTCTACAAAAAGGTATATATACATCAGCTCATTTAAAACCCTTAGGTTGCTGAAAGGTATATAAAGGTGAAAAGAATCCCGATGAATACAATTCGGCACTGATCTTCCTCAAATTAGCATCTGTACGCCGCTTATCTCCCTCCACCGTTCAGTGACACACACCTTGGCCAAGACAGTCGTCTTACCTCTTTCAATTCTTCCGTGGATGCTGTAAACAGTTGTACCACAAACACTATAGGTGGTATCACCATACACAGCCGAGTGTGACATGGTGCGACGCTCCCGACCGTTAGGTAGGAACTGTCTATATTCCGAATTCGCAATAGTTATTAACCATAAACACGGATCATGGCTTCTCTTTGCAGCATACTAACGTCCTTCACCAACACTCTTATTCTTTGAGGAGCTCATTGTCACTCAAAATATTCCTTTTTTGCGCAAAAATATTTGTAGTTCGAAAACATGGGACTCGATCCCGCCTCCTGCAGCGGGCTTAGTGCCACTGAGCATGGCTCTGACTGGCTGTGAAAAAGAAGTCAAGAGTATAATCCGCTCATTGTCTTGCTCAGCGTATTCGATACCAACAGTGTTTTAAATATCCCCTTCTACTATGTCTATTTCTTTCCCTAACCTCATTTTCTCCCCCTCCCCCTTCATATTGTACGATGATTAACCCACCCGGGCACAGGTCACCAACCTACATCGGAGTCTGGGGGGTAAATTTTATTTTAATCATTATTAAATAAAGAAGTGGAAAAAATAAAACCTATCAAGAGTTATAACGCGATATAAATGTTGTGTTGTTAAAGTAAGATAATCATTTGAGACCCTGCAATTGTGTGTAAATGAGGCAGAAAGTCAGATCAGCAACCTGGGACTTGGTCACAATTTTTGTGGTGCCATATGGCAGCAGGGTCTACCATTGGACAACACATTATGCTTCCAATACCTTCCCAGGCAGTAGTACCTCCCTGTTTGGTAGCTGCCTACTACCTGTACAGGTGTTCAGTAGAGATACTCAGGTTAAACATGATCATTAAGATTTAATGCTACATGTTAAGTCATCATTAAATTACCAACACCATACACCCATCTCCTCTTCGCTAAACATCGCCAGATTATATTCTGCTAAAATGATCCAAGTAGCACAGGTAACTAATCAGAAATAATTTTAAATACAAAATATCTTTTTCATCTCATTTACAAAGTAAATCAGAAGCAGTGTGTCGTGTTGTCAAAACTTGTGATGGAATGGAAGTGGTATCTGGCAACGTTAATGAATAATTATGCCATATGATGCAATAAAATTAATTGTATTTAAATAAAATATTGTTAAGGAATTCATTGAAAGGAAAATTTATGGTAACTGTTGTTTCAGTACATGTTGTTATATTGCTACTATTTCACAAAAATAAATCGAAAATATCTCGAGAAAGCAATCAAAATAAATTGCCCACTGGCGATAATTTAAGAACTGGACATAAGATGCTCTAATAAATGACTCACAAAACTTTAATCGGGAAAGACGAGGGATATAACAGCTTAAGAGGGTCTGCGAGGAAACACGTTAGTGATACACTTAATTGACCACGGTGTTCAAGATTCTCACCTAAGCCGTTGACAACAGCTACAGGTGTTGAATCCTTCTGATGGGTGTTACACCTTTTACTTAGACTAAGAAACCAAATATTCTCTGATCATGTTGCTGACACTGAATACTACTCGTAAGTTTCTGGTAGTGAAGGTATAAAACTTATACAAGGTAATGCATTTTTTCACTTCAGTAAGTCACCACATATTTATTAGTACGCATTTACAGGAGACACAGGTGCCCCCGTCCTCCTGCCTGCCAGGTGATAAGATAAAGCAGCTGGGTTATAAGAGGAGCTGCTGCCCGCCACCACACACCTGGTTGACGGCCGCACACCGAGATGCTGTTGAAGTTTGTGGTGGTGTGTGTGGTGGTGGGCGTGGTGACTCCCGCCCTCACTGTGAGTGGTGTCCAACAAATGCCAAAGGAATGGCCCTGTCCTATAAAATCCGATATCTACCCCTGCATATGTAGTTATAATCAGTCTTATGACTTGTTTATGGATTGTTCTGCAGTGGAAAATAATGATGAGTTAGAAATTGCCTTCAGAGAATCAGAGTTTCCCTTTCTCAAATACAAAGAATTTAAAATCGTCCATGACCCCAATGACGAAAAAAATATGTTGACCAATATCGGCCCTGACACCCTCCGAGAATTATCGTTTGAGCGCATCATAATCACTGGCACGAAACTGAACGAGATAGCAGACGAGGCCTTCCACCATTCTCATGACACGCTCTTATCTATGGACCTCTCAAACAACGATCTAAACAGCTTCCCCCTTGAGAGCATCAACGAATATTCAAAACTTAAGATATTCAAACTTGATGACAATAAGTTCCCAGAGCTTCCAGAAATACCATCCGACTCTCTGGAAGTTTTTAGCATCAGTGGCAACCCAAACTTGAATATCTTCCAAAATGCATTTCAGCAAGCACCACTCCTCAGAGAGATCTATCTGGCGCGGCTTCAACTAAAAGTTCTTGAGCCTGGTTTGTTCTTAAATCTGACCCACCTCGCGATACTTGATATACATAGAAATAAACTGGAATCGCTAGATGAGTACTCCGTCGCCACAAAGGAAGTATCCTTACAATTTGTCAACGTCGACGACAACCTCCTTACTGGTATACGCCATGACGCCATCCACGGTAAGACCACCACACGTCACACATACAGTAACACCATCACCATACGTCACAAATACAGTAAAACCATCATCACACGTCACACATACAGTAAAACCATCACCACACGTCACACACATACACAGTAACACCACCACCACCACACGTCACACATACACAGTAACACCATCACCACACGTCACACATACACAGTAACACCATCACCACACGTCACTCATACACAGTAACACCATCACCACACGTCACACATACACAGTAACACCATCACCACACGTCACTCATACACAGTAACACCATCACCACACGTCACACATACACAGTAACACCATTACCACACGTCACACACACAGTAACACCATCACCACACGTCACCATACACAGTAACACAGTACACACCAGTCACCACACGTCACACACATACACAGTAACACCATCACCACACGTCACTCATACACAGTAACACCATCACCACACGTCACACATACACAGTAACACCATTACCACACGTCACACACACAGTAACACCATCACCACACGTCACACATACACAGTAACACCATCACCACACGTCACACATACACAGTAACACCATCACCACGTCACTCATACACAGTAACACCATCACCACACGTCACACATACACAGTAACACCATCACCACACGTCACTTATACACAGTAACACCATCACCACACGTCACACATACAGTAACACCATTACCACACGTCACACACACAGTAACATCATCACCACACGTCACACACAGTAACACCATCATCACACGTCACACACACAGTAACACCCATCACCACACGTCACACACACAGTAACACCATCACCACACGTCACACACACAGTAACACCATCACCACACGTCACACACACAGTAACACCATCACCACACGTCACACACACAGTAACACCATCACCACCTCTCTTCCTAATCAATATATCACTCCAAAAAGTTATCTTTACGATTTTGTGCGAAACAATTTTACAATATTTCTTAGACTCCCACACAAACAACTAACAAACATTCCCCAGACACAAACAAAGAATAAACATACTACACTGACACAAACACTTCCTTGATACAAACGACAAACATTTTCCCCTCACACAAACGACAAATTTTAAACTCTCTCCACCTAACATAAACACTTACCCTGACACAAACAAACTCTCCTCAAACACACAACCCAACCTAACCTAACACAAACAACTAATAAACATCTCCCTTGACACAAACAACAAACAAACTCCTCAAACACAAACAGCCAATAAACATCTCCCTTGACACAAACAAACTCTCCTCAAACAACAAACAAACTCTCCCCTCAGACACACAACCAACTAATAAATCATTCTTGCACCAGGTCTAACTAAGACTGCCACTGTCTCGATGCGGAACAACCATATAATCTACCTGAATAAGGACAATTGGAGCCACGTCATCGATCAACTTCGTCCTGACGGTATACTAGACCTTGAAAGTAAGTATCTAAATCGTTAATTGCCTGGCAGGTGAGTTTCTAAAGGTTAAGTGGCTGGCAGGTGAGTTTCTAAAGGTTAATTGGCTGGCAGGTGAGTTTCTAAAGTTTAACTGGCTGACAGGTGAGTTTATAATAGTTAATTGGCTGACAGGTGAGTATCCGGTATTCATAATTGGATGGCAGGTGAGTACCAATTATCACGTTTGCGTAACAGTTCAGTATTGAGTACTCTTATTGGCTGCTGGCCAATCATTACTACCTCGTACAAGGGATCCTTCGAGATACGGAAGTTCGAGTTAGGGGACTTTGAGCCACAGAGAGCTTTTCCGTAACTCGAGGGATTACCTGCTGCCTCACCTGCCCATTTATTCGTCAACCAATAATGTAATGGCATATTTTGGCTGGCAGACGAACCTTCCTCTCCTATTATTGGTTTAAAGGACATAAGACTGAAGAAGTGGGTGGGTGAGTATTGCTGGTTAATGACATATAAAGAGACATGTAACCTTAACTACGTCTTGTAAATTAATAAATAAATCAATGAGACCAGGATATATAGGGTGGGAACGTCATCAGCACACACCGTTGAAGATCATCTTGTATAAAATTTAATGATCAGTGTCTCGTCTTCCTCCGTCAGTTCAAGTCTACTGTAGAGCAAGCTTCCTCCTCCTGCATCCTTCAATAACTCGAATCTTACACTAACTTCGACCTTCCCTTCCCCCATTTGTTATTATTATCATTATCTTGTATATATGCCATCCCATTCCCTTTAGTTCTTCATAAGAGACGAATATGTCATCCTCCTCAGCGGATGGATTATGTGTAAAAGTACTGGCATGTTGTGCGTGCGTTGGACTCCTTCACTATCGTCGTGTTTCATAGTCAGGGTGCATCCAGGCATCATTTACATTTACAGTTTATATCTCCAACGAATGTTGCCCCAAAAAATATTCGAGACGCTTGATGAGAAATATGTGATTGTGTTACAGATAACCCTCTGGTGTGTGGGTGCGACATGAGTTGGATTATGTTCTCAAAGGATAAGGTGGATCTCTACCTTTTCACTGACACCACTACCTGCAAGACGGGAGAGATAATAATTTACCTTCCGATGCAGAACTTCTGCGACAACTGTCTTCCTAACGACTGTTAACCCCATCGTTTAGGACTGATGAGAGGTTTGATAAGTTTACCAATAAACACATGATGGTTGTGATAGAAAAAATCTCGTTTTGAATATGGATTGACTACTTCTTGATTGATACGAATCACATTGTATATGAACTGTTGAAGATTATAATGGTTAATAGCAGATATAAGCACATTTGGTAAAGATGAAATTGAAGGCTGAGCTCTATCGTCAAATCAATATACCTGTATGACCAACACAAATAAATACAAAGGTCATGTTGTTATAAGTCTACACGTCAGCAAGTTTTGTTGATTATCATAAAGAACAATAATATGTATTTCTTAGCTGTAACTTTATCCCACAGCAATTTATCATCATAGTCAGGAAAGTTTCGTCACATAATTAAGAAAAAACATTTAATGAGAGCTCCGTGGCCTCAGGGCGAAAGTGTTGTAACTCCTGAACTGTCCTTGTAAACAAACATTAAATTATATGACATGTAGATGTTTTAAGTACCATGCACTACACAGTATATGAGGACCGCTTAGTTGTCGTGGTCACAGGGCGCTTTTTTGTTGAATTGAAAAGTTACAACACCTTAGAGCGCTGAGTTTAGGGGAGTGCAGTCTTCACTTATCGTTCACATCAGTGTCGGAATCAACTATTTAACCACAGACAACAGATGTTTTATAAAAAGTTAAAGTTAGCCTCAGTTTCTTTCCTAATAAATACATGAGCCCCAACCCAGTGCTTCCGTGTGTGGATTCATGAAAATATTCTTAGTCATGTGTATGTATGTATGCAAAAATTAGACATAACATAACCATAACATAAAAACAATAAAGTGAAATATATTATCCTGGCATTATCTTCAAGAGTATCCCCCACACAGTACAGTAAGCCACCTCACCAATCACCTCTCTGGATTTTGTTTTCGAATGAGTTAGTTATATGGTTAGAATTTATCGGCATTGTTTAAGTAGTTGTTTTTATTTGTTCAATTTGATTACAATAATCTGACTTGTACTTGTAGAGTTATAAAAGATGTCAGTAGATAATACCTTGTCAGTCCCGCTACGAGTGTTCAGAGCGGCCATAGTACTAGTGGTGTCAGATGTTTGATGCAGGAAAATATTGTGGGTCTTTTTATCAATTGTGATATTAAAAGTGTAGTTGTGTGGCTAATAAATATCTTGCTGTAAAAATATGACCTTTCTTTTGGATGTGAAACCTATGGATTAAATTTAGAGAGATAATGTTTCTCTAGAGTTGTACCCTAACACAAGAGATACTCACTGGGAAAAGATGGTAAAAATACAGCAGAGATGACAAGAATGTATAATTTGTGCATGAAAACAGCCAATTACCATAACAACAGCAGAAAGTACAGTAGCCGCCGTAAATAGTGGCGGAACACGTGGTCCACCTATACTTTTGCCGCGTCTCATTGATACACTTCACAGCTGGCTCCTATGGTTAATGTGACAGCTGCCTCACTCATATGGCAACACTATGGAAGTTACACCACCAAAATAACACCAGAGAAAGGTGATGTGCCTGACCGATCTCAATGGGAATTTTTCCATAACTCGAATATACTTTTCAAGGTACTGCTTCCCTTTTGGAGCTAGGGGTAGAACACACACACGGATGGGGCAGTAAACAAGGTAAAAGTAGGTGGTTAAGGGCGGGGCATGTTTAGTAAATAGTGATGTGAGATGCAAATGGGAGGCGAGTCATCTGCTATTTGCTAATGACACTGTTCGGGTGGACGATCTAAATATTTTTTTTTTATTTGCTAGAGAATGAGTTTCGAAGAATGTTTAGGAGAGAGAAATTTGAAAGCAAGAGAAAACTAAAAAAAAAAAAAAGTTGAGAAAGACGGTGGAAAATTTTTAATCTGATTGAAGGTAGGATGGCGGAAGTGACGTGTGTGTTTCATATAGATACTGGGTGAATGTGTTATCGAGAGGAATAATAAATAACAAACTGAATCAGAGAGTATAGGAGGGAAAGAAAATAACAAGTGGATGGAGAAATGCAGAGGGAGAGAGAAAGAGAGAGAGAAGACAAAGATGAGATGCGGGAGAATAACAGAGACGAAATTTCTGTGTTGGGCTCAAGTATACATTTTAGTAACAAGATAAAGCAACATAAGTCAGAGTATGATATTAAGAAAGAGAGAGAAGGAAGATCAAGAAGGAGGACTTAAAGAATAAGCAGGAGTGAGGGTGATAAGACAGTGTACTTGACATAGAGGAGAGCATGGCGTCGGCTGGTCTCTGTTAAGGATGGATGTGTGTTGTTGATTGATGATGTTGTGTGATACTGTGACAAGTAAAAGCCTTTATTGATATCCTGAAGCGATACTGTAGGAAAGAACGCTAACGAAAATGTATATCATGTATATCTTATAGTAATGAGTGAGCGTATGACAGTAAGCAAATAGGTATCCCTTCTTTTCTCTTGGCTTTAGCTAGCTAGTGGCAGGAATGAATATATTTTATCTATGATTCATTGGTCGTGAGCTGGGAAATCCGTCAAGATTTTGTTCAGATTAGTTAGCTAGTGATGGTGGCATTTAACCCCTGCCTGTGCTAGTGATGCAGTGAACATGTAATACCAGGGTTATAATGAATATATCCATTTAGTGTTGTAGTGAACATGTAGAGCTAGGTATATATTATTATGCCTATGACACAAGGTTGCCCTCAAGTCCAGCGAGTCATGGGGTATAATAAGACCCTGAAGTCCTACACCCCCCTCAACCCCTGCAAGCGTGGCCTCGCACAACCCACCACCTCCACATCACATCACATCATACACATGTTTAAAATACTTTTTTGTGCGTGCGTGCGTGTTCCTTATACATTTCCATAGTTTTGATGACATTAAGGTAAAATTGGGTAGGGACGAGCGGGTTGCCTAATGGATAGTCGTAGTTTATCCTCTATTCCTGACGAGAGGTGACCCCCCCCCCCGTGGGTAAGATTCATTCCACAATTTTGAAGCTGGTGAGACGAAATTTTGTAAGAACGTGTAAAGCCAAGTAACATAACTTAAACTCCCGACACCTTATGAGACAATGGCGAGCATTAAAAATTCAAGGAAAGGTTATGAGTGTAGCTAATTTATTCATAATGACTAGTCGAGGTAGTTTTCACGGTTCTCTGGTTATTATTTCGAGGAAGTGAAGGTAACAAGTTCTATTTTGATATAAATGTATCCGACCTTACCAAATGGACTCCACGAAAGATAAGAAGGTGGTGGGAAGGTGTACCAGCCAGTACCAGGTAAAGGTGAAATCCAAGGTTAGTAGTCTGGTTGTCCCCTCTCCCCCCTCCTCTACCATTCCCACCAATGTAAACTGTTCCACCCAACCATAAGTGCACCAGACAACCAGTTTGGTCTTTACTTGTGCTACATGTTAAGGCACCGAGAATTCGTGAGGTGAGGAAGACTAGTGTGTGTAGGTGAGGTTTTTGATGTTAATAATGAAGCTTCACTACTACCAAGACACAGCCAAGTGATTTCTTAGAAGCGAGTGTGAACGTCTTCAGCTGGGCGGTAACTCTAAAAGGGTGTCTTTCATCTCGTTGAACCTTTTTAGATTCTCTTCTTTTTGCGCAGAACCACAACTTTTATTTTTACATAGGAGATAATTATATAACATCTGTGAAACCCGTTTTTTTGTCATCAGGTGTCACGTAGACCCAGCACCACCTTCGTCCAAGAGTACACCACACCTTGGATAAAAACAACAACATAAGAATAAAAGGAGCTCAGCCACTGTGTTTATGTTAATAATATATGGATCTATGCCTCCCCTCATTCTTCCCCATCACCCCTACATCTCCTACACCCCCCCTCCTCATTTCTAGCACCTCCTCCCCATCTCCAACACCTCACCCCCATCTTCAGCACATCCCCACTATCTCCAGCACCACTCCCATTTTCAACATTCCCCATCTCCAGCACCTCCCCCAATCTCAAGCACCTCCCCCCATCGCCAGTATCTCCCCCTAATCTCCAGCCACTCCCCACCATCTCCAACACCTCCCCACCATCTCCAGCACCTTCGCCCCATCTTCAGCACCTCCTCCCCATCTCCAACATCTTCCCCTAATCCAGCATTAGACCCCTTGCCCTCCCCCCCTCCCTGATAATTGCACAAATTTGAGTCGTAGACATTTAGTGGGTGGGAATGGCGTCAGCCGATACACACTTCAGAGTTAGCTATCTGTAAGAGCAGGTGCAAATTTCCCTCGTGTTGAGACCCCCTGAAGCGACAACCACCACCACTACCAATCAAAATTATCACCCCCATAGTAACTATCACTACTACCACCACCACCACCACAGCATCTACCTATACTACCACCAACACTCACCAGTACCACAGTAACTACCCCTACTACCACCAACACCACCACCACTACAGCATCTACCACTACTACCACCACTACATCACAGAAATCACCACTACTATAACCACCACCACCAACATTCCAACTAATACTTTCAACACCACCATTAAATCATCACCACTATTATTACCAACAACACGACTACTAACACCAACACCAAAACCACCATAACCACAACCACCATTACCACTATTACCACAACCACTATTACCACCACCACCACCACACCTCCCACAAGACCTGAGCTCTCACCGTCCTGCTATCAACTCAAGTACTTCCATGAATTCAGCGATAAACTCCTCATGTGTTTTGCTGTACATTTTCCCAGGAGGCAACACTGAATAATGCGCCGTAGATACTCGTGGAAATTTATAACGCGACTTCATTTTAAACTTACTAGCTCAGAACACTGTCTTAAGCGGGTGATATTGACTTTTTTTTTTTGTATCTATATATTATAATGGTTCCCAAAGCTTGACCTCTTAATTAAATTCATACGGGTATATTTTTGTTTTGTTTTTCGTTTTTATTTCGAGTCAAAGGGAAAATTAATACTTCCACAACAGGTGTTATATATTAAGCCTTGTCTGTACCTGCTCAACACCTTCAATTATCATAGCTTCATCCAGCGGCGAGAATCATTTTACTGTTGATCTTCACTATGTCCACCCATCCACCCGTCTACTATAGCTAAGTCTTCAACATTGCATTACAAATCTTTAACATTCTAGTAATCAACGTCATTCATGGTGTGACATCAGTGTTGGCACGAACTATTGCAAAGACATAAGTTCATCAAATCATTACGAATACCATTGTTTCATAATCCCTAACCAAGACTCTCGACTTCTCCAAACTTTTTAAGTCTTTCTTACCAGTCAGCTTAAATTTCTCCAGATAACCAACTATGTTTCATTAATCTACCTCAGTTTCTACCTTTCCTTGGCCTTCCTACCTTCAGTCTTATCCATTAAAATAACCTCTCCTTTCATCCTTAATTATATAACCAAAGTACATAATTTTTCTTTCTACATTTCCAGTAGTTATCTCGTTATTGCATCCAGTATTAATATTTATCCATTTCATTTTCTATCTGGATAACATTAATATTATCCTTTAGCATCACACATTGAAAGATTTTTGCTTTCTTCTGGTTCTTTCACAAGTAACAACTATACTTAAGTAACTTTACAAAACATCTTTCCTACACCTGGTATACAACAGTTAATCTTCCTCTGGATTTCGTTTTCTGTATTAAATTTTGTACTCCAAGAAATGTATATTTTAAGGGCAACTAAAGCGTAGGCTACCGATATTTATTGTCATTACAAGTAATAATTATATTTTCCATGTGAAATGATCGTATAAATTTACACTCAATTAGCATGTATATAGATAAGGCAGGTATAAGGTGTACATACACAGGCCATGCAAGTATACAACAGCGGTCAAAATGTACAGTTTAGTGCTCTTATTTTTGTCATACACACACACACACACACACACACACACACACACACACACACACACACACACACACACATTCTCTCTATTGATTGCCATTCCTTTATTCTTACTGCTGTAATAAAATTATTCAGTTGTAAAATTCCTCTTCACTTCCCCACTTAGCCGGCGATCGATTTAAGAAAGTAAAATTACTTAGTTGTGGCAAATGTTGCCCCCAGATAACTACATTCTTCTGAAAACCAATTAGATATCTTGATGCTGGTGTCTCTCTAGCCCTTTGTATAACTTTATTGTCCTTCTTTTCCATTTTTTTCTTCTTTTCTTATTTTTTGCATTAAGTTTTTTATGTTTAATTTTCTCTCTTTGAACAAGGAGGAACCTTCCACCCAAAATTATCATGTGGTTCCTCTCGGCGATACTCTGTCCAAGATGAGCCTCCCTCGGGTCCCTGACGGAATGTTAGGAGGAGTCTTGTATGGTTCCCAGTTGGTGGGTGTAGGCGCTCACGGCAGTTGTCATCTCATCTCTATATACAAGAATTCCTGTCAGGTCACCGCAGTAGCCAAGTTCTATCACAACCTGAGCTTCAACGGGAGGTTCCTGAGGGAGGCTCACATGTACCAGGTGCTGGCAGGGATCTCCGGGATCCCACAACTGTTTGGGGTGAGCGTCAACCCCTTATGCCTGATAACCTCCTTCCATGGTCCCACCACGCTCCTCCAGGTCATCCGACAAAAGATCCCGTCCGTCTTGCACCTGCTGACGGCCATGGAGCAAGTTACCGTCACAGTGAGTAACATTCACAACCGCAATATGGTCCATAATGATCTGAAGTTAGATAACATTCTCGTCGACCTCTCTGCTGACACTCAAGAAGTGAAGGCAACTGTGATAGACATGGGTAGCATGACCTCTGTCGGGGACCGTCCTTACAAAGGCTGTCACCATGAGTGTAAATCTTATCCCTACCTGGACCCGGACCTATTGCAAGGTGGCCAGTCGACGCCCGCTAGTGACGTCTACTCACTGGGTGCGATGATAAGGGAAGTAATGAAACTTCTGCCGCCCAACACTATCGCACCCCACACTAACCAACTGGTCGATCAGTGCTTCAGTACAAATGTCTGTGACCGCCCTACCATGCTGGAGGTAAGCAGCATCATTGTGAACTTAAAAGACTCACTTCCAAGGCCTACCATCCAGTAATCAATAGACCTGCTCTCTCTATACATTCTCACAGCTTCATCCTTGTAGTATTTACGTGTTTTTCTTTGTTTACACATACATTTCATTTCAGTTTCATTTCAGCTCACCATCATAAAAACTGTAGTCGTACATAGCAAAGAAACAGACTAATATATGTGTTGTTGAGGGGGAAGGGGTTAAACTTTCTTCAAAACTGTTGCCTGCGCATAGTGAACAACCACAAGAAAAAACATACAACCTGACACTGTGTTTTATACAGTAGATGTTCCTTCCCTCGCAGCACCGTCCCACTACTTAACCCAGTACTGGAACACTAAAACAACTTGGTCTTTGCTACTGTATTGAGCACATCCATGTAAGTCTTCTGAGTTTCGTTGTCAGACTCAAAATGCGGAATCGAAGCAATTTTTTTCTTACCTCCGGAACTAGATAATCTGCCAGAAGGGACCAAGACAGGTGAGTACAGGTGTTATACCATCCTCTTGGTGCCTAATGCGTCTATAGTTTGGAGTAGACGCGAGTGTTATAAGCGAGTTTTTTGTCTTGATGTTTGAACCCAAGCATTGTCGATTTTTATTTGGTTCAATGTACTCTAAAGACAATAAAAAGGCACTCAAAATTATCTGACCAAGATTAACCACCCAAACCAAACCTAACCTAACCTAACCTAACCTAACCTAACCCAAACCAAACCAAACCTAACCTAACCTAACCTAACCTAACCTAACCTAACCTAACCTCCTCCGTACCACTCATCAAGCATGATCGCCTCTGCTTTATTTGTTTTGCCGTCAAGAGAATAAACAATACCTCCCTCCCTCCCCACTGCGGGCTGTTGACTAACACGACTCACTGGCTATATATCCCAACCCCCTCACCACCACCTACCTCCTCACCACCACCACCACCCTCCATCATTATTACCACCACCTCCCTCCATCACTACCACCACCATCTCCCTCCATCACTACCACTACCCTCAATCACTACCACGACCCTCCATCACCACCCTCCATCACCACCACCACCCTCCATCACTACTACCACTCTCCATCACCACTACCACCACTCTCCATCACCACTACCACCACTCTCCATCACCACCACCACCACCACCCTCCATCACTCCCACCACCACTGCACTTTAATAAATGGTCCCCAAATATCAATTAAAATGAGCTGAAAATATTGTCCACGATGTTAAATGTAAGGAAATAAATCTTACAATCATAGAAAATTCATTCAAGGAAAATTGTTAAGGATTACTAAGAAAATAAATAGAAGTTATAGGACAAGAACGCGGGGCTGGGAACGTGTGTATCAACCTCATGTTTATGGAAGCTGTCATGATTTCACTTCAAGACAACAACGAGGTTTACCACAATACATTAATACTGTTATATGTGTGTTTCACCTTTAGAGCGAAACTAATGTGAATCAAATTAATTAACTGTTTATTTTTCATTAATAACTTTAAGCAGCTTGTCTCTAAGAATAAGAAAAGATGAGGGCATGTTTCTTATTCTGGATGTACAGTAAGTTTGATAGAGAAATAAAATTAATACAATCTAATGAGAATGTTTTACTTGTGATTAATTCCACCACAAAAAGTCCAGAAAATCGATGATGCAAAACCTTATATACTTTAGCCCATTAATACTGCAGGTAACAAGACACTACTGAACAACATCAAAGTCATGTGGTGAAGGATTTCCTTTACACCAAAACAGCATTAACTTTATAATTGCTCTAATCCATCAATGTGCTACTGCTCTTACGCGCCACGGTTTGAATGGTTCACATACAATGGCCGCTCATTACTGTATATATACCTTCGTGGTTGTCAGGCAATCAGCTCAGGAGTTACCAACAGGTATTTTTCATTAGCAATTTCGAGTAAATACGCTTTTGAAAAATATCTATGGCAATGAAAAATACAGTCCCCTATTGACTATAATTTTGCATAGTAAACTTGGTACTGTATTGTGTAAAATGTGGTATATGTGGTTAGGCCGAAGGAACAGTATTATGAAGTTTAATGCTCTGGAAGCTGTAGTGAGAATACATACATCGCTCATCATGATAAAATATATTCTATCACGTAAAAGTATATTATCATTCATTGGGTTTTTTTTCTCGCCTTATCATAGTGACCATAAACCATAAATTCAATCAAATCAGACAATAAAATATTCTAATTAGTAATGAATAAATCCCAAAGCTTCTGGTAATAGTTGTACAAAACAATGGTGGTAACTTTGGGCTGAGACATCAGAGACACAGTCGAGTCAATACTGAGCTTGTCACCGAACATATACTGTACTGTACGTGCGAGTTAATACTCCCAGTGTCCTCTCCACCACCACACTTCTCTCATCACTACGAAGAAAGGTAATAATAATCATATATCTTAGAGAAAGTCTTGAATGATGATGTAGAATTCTTACAACTGGACGAAACATTAGAAAATGAAAAGTGATGAAGACGAAAGACAACAGTACTACAAGGAACTAGGGTGTAAGACAACATGGTGTGAGGAATTGTTGTAAGGAAGAAGAGGAGGAGTTAATGAGACTTAAGACCAATCTGACTATGTGTTAGTGATGGTCCTCGCTTATACTCCTCCGCCACTCCACTCCTCCCCGCCACATGCTGAGCTGCTACCCTGCCACCTATCGCTACCTATTTCGCTTATACTCCTCCACCGTTCCACCGTACACTATGCCGTCACCTATCGCTACCATCTATCATTTTACTACTGTTCCATCTAGAAATCTATATCTAACATTGTACTTTTTTTTTTTTTACTTTTTTCTAGATTACAGGTATACCCAAAATATCCACAAAACAAGGGATTGAGAAGAGGCAAATAGTGAACAACGAAAAGGTATTATGTTTCTTGTCCCTTACTCCTGTATGTCTTAAGTTACTCGGTCCGAATTACTGAAATAGCGTAGCTTTATTAACAAATATAAAGGTGTGTACAGACATGGTCTTAATCACCAGAGAAAACGGACCAGAAACGAAAAAAGGCTCAATTCTGAGCTTGTAACACACTCAGCCACCGTAGAGTAGCAGAACACGACATTGTAATAAACTAGTGAGAGATCTGGGTGTTTAACAATGGATTTTTAGTTGTCAGGAACTTCGAGAGATTTCAACATACCTTCGACAGTATATGAATAAACTATCTCCGCTAGTAAGCTATCTCCTATAGTAAACTATCTCCACTAGTAAACTATCTCCTATAGTAAACTATCTCCACTAGTAAACTATCTCCACGAACAAACTAGCTCCCAGATAGGAGTATATCCTGGTACAGCGAGACCTAGTCATTACATATTAACTTGGGTAAAAATTCATGATATTTTCTTTTTTAATTATATGGTTAAAGTGATCTGTATATCAACTATTTGGTGAAACCGGCACTACACCAGATTGCCTTCACTTCCCCAACTGCAGAAGTAGGAGGCGGATGGGGGTTTGTGTGGTGAGGGTTAAGAAATGTGTGGGAATGAAAAGGCGGGGCTTGCGAGAGGGCGGGGTTTGAAATGGGGCGTGGCTTTGATAAAGAGGCAAGGTTTGCGAGAGGTCAAGGCAGGTGTGGAGGCGAGGGGGCAGGGCATATGGAGGCGAGGAGGCGAGGCATATAGGGAAAATAAGGGGCGGGGCATGTATGGAAACCAGTGGGGCGGGGCATATATGGAGGCAAGGTGGGCGGGGTTTGCGTGGGGACGAGGGGGCGGGTCCACTTTACAGATGTATATAAACGCTTGGTCTCTCGCACACCCAGGCGTCGACAGCTGGTAGCGGCCACATTCTAACAGGTGGGTGTCTTCATTGAGCAGGAGAGTGTGTCTGGGGGCGGGTGTGACTTAGCCAGGGAGCTCACATGTAAAAGTTTCTTATAGCGATGGGGATTTTGGCGTGTGTGTGTGTTTGAATCTTCTATATAAATTCATAGTGTATGTATAGCAATCGTCTATGTGAATCTTGGTTGTGTATGGAGTTAATGTATGAATCTTAGTTGCGTATGAATCTTGTTGTATGTGGATTTAATGTATGAATCTTGGTTGTGTATGAATCTTGGTTGTATATGGATTTAATGTATGAATCTTGGTTGTGTATGAATTTATTGTATGAATCTTGGTTGTATATGGATTTAATGTATGAATCTTGGTTGTGTATGAATTTATTGTATGAATCTTGGTTGAATATGGATTTAATGTATGAATCTTGGTTGTATATGGATTTAATGTATGAATCCTGGTTGTGTATGAATTTATTGTATGAATCTTGGTTGTATGTGGATTTAATGTATGAATCTTGGTTGTGTATGAATATTGTGTTCGAATCACTTATTAGGGAATCAAAAAGGGCAAACGGATAGTGAGGAGTAAAGATAGAAGATGAAAGTGAAATAAAGAGAGAGATATAGAGTAAATATAAGGATATCTAAAGAGAGTGAATTTGTGAGGGAGTCAGTGAGAGGGTGAATAGTGAAACCTGAGGGAGAGAGAGAGAATGTGTGTGCGTGTGTGTAGAACGTCAGAAAGTGCAGTGATTTCTACATTACAATTAGCCCTTTGAATAAAATGTGTCCCTTATATGAAGTGTCTCCCTTAAATACAACGCCTCCCTTAAATACAACGTCTCCCTTAAATACAACGTTTCCCTTAAATACAACGTCTCCCTTAAATACAATATCTCCCTTAAATACAACGTCTCCCTTAAATACAACGTCTCCCATAAATACAATGCCTCCCTGAAATACAACGTCTCCCTTAAATACAATGCCTCCCTTAAATGCGATCCCCCACTCAAATCTAAGACACCTTTAAGATAATTATAATACGAATTCACTCCAAATCGTAATAACTACTTAAAATACTTATGGCACAAAGATGTGGCAAACTAAGGCAATTTCGCTTAAGTTACACATTATCTCAAGACTTCGTTCATCATTTACTTTTTTTGTCTACCGAACTGGATTTATGAGAACGTATCTATTGAATGTCACGAGTATCCATCGACCGAAAAGAGGGAAGAGATTACGTATTCTGTCTCAAATGTATGTATCCTGTCTCACTGCTTCTGTGGTAGGAGAGACTTGGGCCGAAACTCACATGGTTGATGCATTAAACATATAGGAAGTGGATGCACGCTCGCTCACACACACACACACACACACACACACACACACACACACACACACACACACACACACACACACACACACACACACACATCATTAGGCAAAGTTGTGAATGGATGACAAATGAAAAACCTCAAGTGTCAGGCAAGTGTCAGGGATAGGAAAGGAAGGAAGGAATCGTGATGTTGAGTGTGGGAGATAAGAAGGAATACCTCTTTGGCCTTCCCTGACTCTCAACCAAATCATATTCTTGATGAAATAAATACTGTAAGGACGAAATAAATTAAGTAAAATAGGTGTTGTTTTGTTAGAGGCCAGTGTTTGTATCGGCAAAATACAGTCAAGTACCGATTAAAGTTTTTGAATTCGATAAATTCAGTCAAATGCCGATCATTTACACGCATTTATTTTTTTTTCGTTATTCGTAATATTTCATAAAGTTACCTGCAAGTTTTACAGAATCTTCATAGTTTGTTCTTCCATACTATTTAATAACTTTATTACAGGTTTTCAGGAATATACTATGATATTTAATATACTAGTTTAGTAATATGACATTTAGTATTATTGCATTTCTATTTATTCATTTATTTATGGGTCATCATTATTTACCGCCTTAATCAAATTCATTCCGTGGCAAAATATTTTCTGTAAGGTAATTCACTATTCCAGCGTTGGTCAAATAGTAAACCCCATTTTCTAGTGTGTTAGTAATGGATTTGCAACGCCCATCGTTTAGCCGTGTAAGTTGGCGGGGCTGAGCTGTCCACTTGTGTCGCGTACAACACTACACAACCGATCTTTCCATTACGGTTTAACTGACTCTAGACTACCTGATAAACTTAATTATTCGCCACCATAGAACGATATATCTCTGGCTAGTTATACGCGTATTATGTATATTTAAATCATATCCTTATATCATAAATATTAATCGAAGCTTTCTGAAACAATAGGAGTTATTATCTAATAAACGAAACATTATGCTTCCGTATCTTATCATAAAGTGGAATCTATTGCTGATGATTAGAAAACCTCCCCGATATTGTAGAGTACACTTAAGCTTTGATTTGTTGTAAGATACCCCGACGTTATCTTACAGCCTCGCCAACGTGCTAGACAGGCAGCAGTACCACACACTCAGAGACGCTGCCACACTCAATCGAGGGTTTTCTCCTGCCTCGGGGAACAGAATCATATTTTCTTTGATGTTAGGAGATGCCTCAATCTTCAAGTTGTAGATCTCAAGTACTTAAACAGATGGAAAGACGTATACAGGTAGAAAGTTCCTCTCTTGTGAAGTGCGAGGAATAAAAACTTGTGTATGTCTGTTGATTGAACATGTGGTAGAGGTAGGAGCTTCTCGGTTCAAGGAGGTAAAGGATGATGGTCTCTTATTTTATCATAACATTGAATATGGAGGAATAAAGATAGAAACGATTTACTGAAAGAAAGATGTGATAACGAGGGAAGGAGAGCGGAAATAAGACCGGATCATTAACCACTTGTATACGGGTCCACTCTCTGGTGAATAAAATCAACTGGCGTGAACCAAATAAAATATTACGCCCCCGGTAGTGAAGGGGTTAAGATGTTTACCCTCTTCCTGGACCCGGATATGTGGGGGCGAGGAAGACTTATGTTAAGGAGGGAAAGATAGGAGACATTCATGGGACAAATATCTAGAGATTTCTTTTATATATTTTTATGACATCTTGTGTGATTTGTTGACACTAAGAATGTGGGCTAATACTTGGCCTTAGAAAGTTTACGTAGGAAGAAAGAGTGGGTGAAGTCTGTCGCATTATCAGAGGTCTTAAGTGTTTGGGTCTCAGAAGAATTAAATATTCCTAAGTTAACATTCCCGGCGGGTGAGTGTGGTGGGTGTGAGTGCGGTGGGTGTGAGTGCGGTGGGTGTGAGTGTGGTGGGTGTGAGTGTGGTGGGTGTGAATGCGTGGGTGTGAGGTCACGGCTGGGAGTCTAGGTGATGGTTTACAGATCTACAGACCGGTATATAGAGAGTTAACATATGACTGATAAGAAATATTAATGGAGAATAATGTCAAGTGAATATGTTAATATAATTAGAATCAGTCAGGGTTAACATTTAAAAAATATCAATAGAATACAAAATCAACAAAAACTTTCAGTACAGATCAATAATGTTAATCTTCAATACTCCAAATTTCTGGTATGGCTGTCAATTATTTCATTCCCTTAAAAAAAAAAAAAACTTTTCGTATTTTATCGCAAATTTTAAGTAATAGTGTTAAGATATCCTGTTACTATAATAAAGGAATTAATGTAATGAGTTCTCACCCCTGACCACTCACAGTGTATAGACCTCACGCTGGTTACCCAATTCTCTATCGCCATACATGCTGTCTCACTCACCTGGAAATAATCTGCTGTGAAGTCCGAAGGTTGTTATGTATATTAAAACACTGGGGCAGTTTACACACTCTCTAATTTTATAACAAGTGACTATTTTAAACTTATGTTGAGTAAAGTGGAAAAAAAAACTCGTTCTTTCAGTTGGATTTAGGGAACGTCGTATTTGAAAGTCACCCAGACTCATAAAACACCTTCTACCATTTTTTTTATTTAAGTAACCAGTTCAAGACAATAGCGGAACAGTCAAATCAAGACGAATATAACAAGTATCAAATTATAGATAGTATAAACTAGAAAAAAACATGATAGTACTCTATACTTAATGTTGTTCCAAGAAAACAACAGTTAATATAAGTAAATTTTATCACCAACTTCTTTATATTCTGTGGTCAGAAAGAAATGCTTTTAAAACATTGCACGTATACCGGTATGCAACCTGAACACGTATGCTGGAGTGCACTACACCTAAAACTTTTTCTTGTTTTCCCTTGCTGTAAAAAAATGTCCAAACGTCAATAAAAAAAAAAACAATGGGACGCCATGCTAGTAGTCACGTTTGTTATGAAATCTTGTGACAATATTTTATTTGGATGGCAAAGTTAATGGTTTTAATATGGCTTCTGATATTAAGTGTATTTTAACCAGAGGTATGACGGCCTCCATGTATATCTACACCTCGGACACACTGCTGAAAAACACCCAAAAGTTTCGCTAACTCGTCGCTTTAATACAAACATTCTACAAACAAATTCACGTCAACTATCTGTATAATTAAGCTTCCAAAGGAAAAATATATTTATTTTTAATTTGTTTTATACCATTTTCCTAAAGTGTGACGCGAGACAGACAAAACAATGTGGACGGAAAAACAAGAAGGAACTAAGATGCTTCTGTTTTTATTACTCAAGGTGTTATCGTAAGCATCGTCGTCGGTAGAGTGATCCTCATGCCTCACTTTTCACCACATTTATCACAAGCGACACAAGACTTACCCTAATATGGCTCTCGTGAATATTAGTGCGGTGACAGGTAATGCTATTCACAGGTATAGGGTGATTCGGTTAATGGAAGTACAAGTTATATAAGCGTGGGCGTGGGACATGTAAGCGTGAGAGAGATGTAGGCGTGGGGGAGATGCGGGAGAGGAGCAGGTGTGGATGTAGGGCAGTTGTAGGGCAGGTGTGGGTGTAGGGCAGGTGTGGGTGTAGGGCAGGTGTGGGTGTAGGGCATGGGTGGGTGTAGGGCAGGTGTGAGTGTAGGGCAGGTGTGGGTGTAGGG